CAGAGAAGCGGACACGGAGCAATGGATCCAAACTACAAGAAAGAAGATTCCACCTAAACATTAGGAAGAACTTCCTGACAGTAAGAGCTGTTTGACAGTGGAATTTGCTGCCAAGGAGTGTGGTGGAGTCTCCTTCTTTGGAGGTCTTTAAGCAGAGGCTTGACAACCATATGTCAGGAGTGCTCTGATGGTGTTTCCTGCTTGGCAGGGGGTTGGACTCGATGGCCCTTGTGGTCTCTTCCAACTCTATGATTCTATGATTCTATGATTCTAAGTTGGAGTCCTGCCTGGTTACTTGTGAGCAACCACATCACCACCCGACACTCCTGTTTAATATAATAGTATTAGAAACAGAATATCTTTATTTTTTATAAAAGAGCTTCTTCCTGCCCCTGAGAAATTTAAACTTTCCCAGTTTGATAGATCTATTTTTATTTCTCTAATTGATTTGGAATGATTGACTTAGATCTTCCAAATCTCCAGATTCTCAGATATCCAGCTGGGGTCTCCCTTAATCTACGCTTTATGTTTCCCATGTGTGTTACAAAGCTAACTGGCTGGCGCTGTCCACCTCCAGCCACATCAGGCCCCCAGGGAACAGTGGGCAGTGCCCACTTAGCCAATCGGAGGCAGGGGCTTGGGGGTTGCAAGCAGCCTGCCCCTACTCTACTTAAGAGGGCGGCCAGGTGTGAGGATCGTCGTGGGATTTTTCCACCCACCCACCTAGTCCATGGGGGGGGGGGGGAGTGGGCACGTTGCCTATGAGCCTTGCTATGGTTTATTCAGTCGCCATATCCAGGGCCAAGGGAATTTTCTCCTGCAAGCAAACTGGGCAGCTTGCAGGTTTTTGCCTACCTCACATCAGCTTTCACAACTTTGGCAAATAAGGCATTGGTCTGGATACTTAATCACAGGGGTCCTGTGAAAGGGGTCCAGGAGGGGTGACTCTGTCCGAGAGTCCACTGGGGGCCAATGAACCAAAACACCCCTCCCAATGGCAGCCTGTGCAGGGTTGGGGCATCCAATCCATGTTGGGGGGTGGCTCCCCAGCATAAGTTCGACCCCACCAGGTTCCTATGTTGGTTTCTGCTTTCCTTCACTGAGCAGCAACTGCTGTCATGAGACAGGTGTTTACATTCCACAGACTGTACTGTTGGAGTTTCTCACGGGAAAGGAGACTGGATGTGACGTACACTGGTTTCCTGTTTTTCACTGTGTGATTCTCTCCAAGCTGTCGAGGAGAGAGGATGCATTTTTCTGCTCTTGCAGAGGCAAGATGTCTTTCTGTAATATACCAGCTTTGAACTGTAAATAAAGCAATATAGAGTATGTAGCACGTATTCTTCATCCTTCCGCTGGCCACGACAGACTCTGCTTTAAATCAACACGTGGTTATGGACTCCAGAGGTCGAATCGGAGTGCCGGCAGATCGGAATGCAGAGGGACGGATCGGAAAGGAATCTGCTCTGCGCGTAGAAGTGATTGATGAGGTATGTGCTACTGCTCCGGGCAGCCTGCCAGCTTCAAGATAATGGCTTTATGGCTGGACTTTGAACTTTTAAAGCCGGTTTTGCAGGAATAGGCAAAAGGCTCCCAGGCACAAGTCACTATGCTGGGGAAATCGAAAGTAACTTTTAAGTGTGCCTTTGTAATGAGGCAGCTGCAGCAGTGACGCAGCAAGATTTAAAGCAGCATATAATGACGCTGAAGGCTAATGCCAGAGTCATGATGGCCCTTCAGGATGCTTGTGGGATTCCTAAGCTCAACAAGAAAAATTACAGCGACTGGGTTCAGTATGCAGAGGCAATTCTGCGGAAGAGGGTTTGTTTGAGGTGATTACAGAAACCCCCCCAGTTCCAGTTACAGATGCATGGGAAGCTAAGGATTCCAAAGCAAGGGGAACTCTTACATTGATAGTATCCCCAGAAGAGCTCTGTCTATTGCGTGATAAGACCTCAGCCAGAGAAATTTGGGACGCTCTGAGAGAGGCTCACTTAAGGACAGAAGCTGGATCCACTATGTATTACTTTAACAAGCTGCATAATATGGCTCTTGCTGAAGGTGGAGATGTGCGTTTACATCTGATGCAGATGCAAAATCTGAGACATGAGCTGCAACAGAGAGGACTCAACTTTCCAGAGGCTGTGTATTCTTTCATGATACTACAATCTTTGGGTTCAGGTTGGGAGTCTGTTGCAACCCAGATTGCTGTGCAACCAACTGCTCAGCTGACAGTGGACTTTGTTACTGCCGTGATTTTAAATGAAGCAGATCGCCGGGGTGCTAGCTGCATGGGCAAGGAGAGTCTTCACAGACGTCATCCCATAGTGCAGTGGAACCACCAGATGGCGCCAAAGCTTTGAAGGCAGTGAAATGCTACTCGTGTGGACGTCTAGGCCATATGAAGAGGGAATGCAGACATCCCAGGGCCAAGACAGAGCAGCGCAGCGAAGCTCATCGCGCGGAAAGGCCGAGGCAAAGGCAAAGGTCCGGTGTCTAGGACAACGCAGCACAAGGCTATGGTTTCACGCTTCACTCCAAAGGTTGCAGAGGTCCAGAAGACGTCTAGATCTTTCTTCGTTGTTGATTCAGCGGCCACCCACCACATGTGCAACGATAAGAAACTGTTTGTGTCTTTTACACCGCAGGAAGGTGCGATTCACCAGGCGGATGACCACACTATTCCCAGTAAAGGCTACGGAACTGTTGTTCTTCACAGTTTGGACTTATCGATACAGAATGTGCTTTACGTGCCAGACGCCAAACATAATCTGCTCAGCGTTGGACAGCTGAATGAGCGGAACATTGACGTTTCCTTCAAGAACAAGAAGTGCATCATCACAAAGAAAAATGATTATGTATTGCATGCAGAATATGTTGATCATTTGTTTGTTTTGTATTATGATGATGTGGTGCAGGATGACACTTGTTGCATTGCAGGTTCTAACAAAAGTTTGCATGCAGAATGTATTCACGATTTTCATCGCAAATTTGGTCATTTGCATTTTGAGGCAGTATCTAAAATGCCTGCCTTGGTTGAAGGTATGACTATTAAACCCTGCAGGTACCACATGAAGTGCAAAGCATGCGCAGCAAACAAGGTGAAAATGGCTGCGAAAGGTAAGGTGTCTAGTAGGAAAGCTACAGAACCATACCAGGTTGTTCATGCTGATTTGGTTGGACCATTAGCGCCCTCTTTGGGTGGAAATAGATACTTCATGGTTCTCATTGATGCATTTTCTAGATATATTTTTGTGTACAATCTCAAGCAGAAATCGGAGGCTTTTCCTAGGTTCAAGGAATTCTGTGCTTGGTTGGAAAATGTGCATGGTAAGAAGATAAAGACTCTTTTCAGTGATCGCGGGGAAATTCACTTCTCAGCAGTTTGAAGCTTTTCTGACTGAGAAAGGAATTCAACACGATTTGTCTAGTCCTCGCTCGCCATGGCAGAATGGACTTGCGGAACGGGCAAATCAGACATTGCTTCAAGGGTTAAAGACCTTGCTGCATGATGCCAATCTTCCAGAGAGTTATTGGGCCGAATCTCTCTCGTGTTTTGTTTACAGTTACAATCGCAGGCTATCTTCAGCGATTGGTTGTACCCCCTATGAGAAGATGTTTGGCAAGAAGCCATACATCAAACACATGAAGATTTTGGTTCTGACATGTGGGTTCACTCACCACAAAACTCCAAGTTAAACAAGCGTGGATTGCATGGTATCTTTCTAGGTTATCAGAAAGGGTCTTACAGAATAATGATGACTGACTCTAAGACAATTAAGCTCACGAGAAGTGTTGAGTACAATGCAAAGTGGGGGAGAATGTGGGAATTTTCCAATGTTATCCTGATGACGGTGATGAGACTGAGGATAGTCAAAAGCAACCACAACAGCCCACACCCACTGATGAAGGTTCTGAGTCTGAATCTGAAACTGAATCGGGTGATTCAGAGGATTTCAAGAGTGCGAAAGCCTCTATGCGACCCTCTGAAAGCTCTGATCAAGAATTGGAGGAACCATTGTTCACAATAGGTCGTTTTTCTCCTAAGAAGGAAGAGGAGAGTGTTGAAGACTTAAGGCTAATTCGTAGGTCACAGAGAGCCACCAAAGGCAAACCTCCAAAGAGATTTGCTGATGAGTTTGCTAAGATAGCAGTAACAGCTGTTAAAAGCTCCAAGAAGGTATTTGAACCTTCAAGTTTCCAAGAAATCCAGGGTTTGGATTCAAAGGAAGCTGAGCCATGGTTAAATGCCATGAAGGCTGAGCTTGATTCCTTAGAAAGGAACAAAACATGGGAGCTAGTTCCAGTAGTTCCAGGAATGAAACTGCTTGGAAGCAAATGGGTCTTCAAAGCGAAGACAGATCAAAATGGCAAGATAGTCAGACACAAAGCCAGATTGGTAGCCAGAGGTTTTGCACAGGTACCAGGTGAAGACTATCACGAGACCTATTCACCCACAGTGAGATATGAAAGCATTAGGCTTATGCTCAAGCTAGCTGCAGAGGAAAATCTACACATTAGTCACCATGATATTAATACAGCTTTTCTGTACGGATCTCTAGATGAATCACTTTATATGCTTCCACCTGATGGCGTACAGGTAAAACAGGGATTTGTTTGTGCTCTGAAGAAATCCCTTTATGGTCTCAAACAAAGTGCACGGTGTTGGCACACAAAACTCACTGAAGTATTGTTTTCTCTAGGTTTTCAGCAAGGAAAGCTGATCCATGTGTATTTGTCAAAGAGGAGGGGCAAAAGAAACTGTACTGTTTGTTTTATGTTGATGATTTATTATTCTTTTGGAAAGATGTCGCAATGTACAATAACGCCCTAGCTCAACTGAAAGAGCACTTTGACATGAAAGATCTTGGTGAGGTAAACAACTACCTATCTCTGGAAATAGAGAGAGATCAAGATGGTAACATTCTAGTACACCAGTCACGGAAAATTGCTGATGTGTTAAGCAAACTAAATCTGATGGATGCTAACCCTGTAGACACACCGATGACAACAGGTTATCAGGTAGATGACACTGAAGAAGCATTTTCTGACACTACACTGTACAGGAGTGTGCTAGGCAAGCTAAACTTCATTGCCAGATGTTCAAGACCAGACATTGCTGTTAGCTGTAATTTGCTAAGCAGACAAGTCAACAATCCTAGTGTCAAGGATTGGAAAGCTCTGAAACACATAGCGCGGTATTTGAAAGGCACTATGCATTACAGACTGAGATTTAACAATCAGAAGTCTGGTGGTCTTGAGATATTTGCAGATGCAAGTTTTGGAAGTGACGCTACAGACAGGAAAAGTACGTCTGGAGTTTGCTATATGTACAATCAGAGTCTTTTTGATTGGTCATGCAAGAAGCAAACAACAGTTAGCTTAAATACTTGTGAAGCTGAACTGAATGCACTGTCTTATTCACTTAAGGATTGTGAATGGTTAGTACAATTGTGCAAAGATATGAAAATTCCTGTCAAATGTCCAATCCAGGTTTACCAGGACAACAAAGCATGTTTGGCTTTGCTGAAGTCTGAAGGTTGTAAGCAAAGCACAAAGCACTTGCAATTAAAGTTGCAGCATGCTAGGGAATGTATTCAGAAGGGACTCGTAACGGTGTCCTATATGCCAGGTAATGAAATTCCTGCTGATGTATTGTCCAAGATTGTATCAAGGGATCAACACTGTACCTATGTGCAGAAGTTGGGTTTGTACTGATATTGTGCAAACACGCTGCCCAGTGATGTTCACAGAAAGGGGGAGGATGTTGGTTTCTGCTTTCCTTCACTGAGCAGCAACTGCTGTCATGAGACAGGTGTTTACATTCCACAGACTGTACTGTTGGAGTTTCTCACGGGAAAGGGAGACTGGATGTGACGTACACTGGTTTCCTGTTTTTTCACTGTGTGATTCTCTCCAAGCTGTCGAGGAGAGAGGATGCATTTTTCTGCTTTGGCAGAGGCAAGATGTCTTTCTGTAATATACCAGCTTTGAACTGTAAATAAAGCAATATAGAGTATGTAGCACGTATTCTTCATCCTTCCGCTGGCCACGACAGACTCTGCTTTAATTCAACAGAATCCATGTCTCTCTTTGAGGCCATGACACTAGTTTGGATGATAAATTCAGTACCTTTTCCTGTTTAGTGCTGATAGATTGTAGTGTTAGCACACTTAATAGGCACAACTCAGACAGTAGATCTGCTTCATGTTCAAAAGGTACAGTGGTACCTCAGGTTACATAAGCTTCAGGTTACATACGCTTCAGGTTACAGACTCCACTAACCCAGAAATAGTGCTTCAGGTTAAGAACTTTGCTTCAGGATGAGAACAGAAATCGTGCTCCAGAGGCGTGGCAGCAGCACGAGGCCCCATTAGCTAAAGTGGTCTTCAGGTTAAGAACAGTTTCAGGTTAAGTACGGACCTCCGGAAAGAATTAAGTACTTCACCCGAGGTACCACTGTATTGGCTTGTCCACGGGAGGTGAATCAACAAGGCTTCATGGTAACATAGTGGCTTCAATGTTCTCTTGTTGAGTTGCCCTCACCTCTTGAGTTGCCCACTACTCTGCCAAGAGTCTTCTTCTTTGGCGATCCCTCGTAGCCGAGTAAGATTGTCTTCCATAAACATGGTTTTAACAATGAGTTCATAAGTGATTGTGGAGGCCAATTCTGGATCCACACGTCCTTCCACAGTGGGGACATTGGTTTCCAGGTGGGAGTTGATCACAGTGTGGATTTTCCAAGCGTGCCTTCCTCTTGGCACAGGTCTCCCTTGCGTCCTGAGTTCGAGCATCTTCAAAGCCCATGACACCTTTGGTGAAGGCTGTTCTCCAATTGGAGTGCTTGCAGGCCAGTGTTTCCCAAGATTGATAATCTTGGCATCACTAAAGTCTGCTGGGATCGCTTCTCTTTCCCAGATTTTTTCGATGAGCATGTGAAGTTGTTGTGCAAGCTCGACTCCACCCACTTTGAAGATTTCAGCAGGTATCCCATCAGGTCCACTGGCTTTGTTGTTTTTCATTTGGTTAATAGCTGTACACAACCCTCCTAGATTTGGAAATACTGCAAGCTCGTCTCTATTTTTTTTTGTGGAATTTGTGAGAGGACCTCAGCAGCTACGGGGGAGATGCAGTTAAGGAGATGTTGGTAGTGTTCTTTCCAGAGCAGTGCAATAGCTTCTTTATCTTTTAGAAGTGTGGTACTATCTGCTGAGTGTAGGGAGCATATTTATCTACTTGCACTTTGATGTGCTTTCGAACTGCTAGGTTGGCAGGAGCAGGGACCGAGCAACGGGAGCTCACCCAGTCGCAGGGATTCGAACTGCCGACCTTCCAATCAGCAAGTCCTAGGCTCTGTGGTTTAACCCACAGCGCCACCCACGGTCCCTTGAGCACTTAGTATAAACCTATTGGATATAGGTAACCCAGATCAGAGGGAAGGTGTCCCACAATGAAGTCATCTAATCTGCTTTTTTTGGAATTGGGCAGATTACTCAAGCTCTGTGATGAAGCAATCCTTTTCCTCCTTTTGATCATATTAGTGAACAAACGCTGTTCTTATATAGGGCAGCAAAATTCCAGATTCTGTGGAGTCCTGTCTAGCTGCTAAGCCAAAAGTGGTGTCTTTGCTGTTGTTAAATTAGGCAAGCAGTCAATAAGCAGTAGAGGCACAATAGTCTTGCAATAATTTTGCAGGTGTCAGCAAATAACTTGGCAGTGAAACCTTAAGTCATAAACTATTGAGTTGCAGTGAAGGCAATAACATCTGCAAAACAACAGGCAAACGCAGTGGCAGAGCAGTAAAACAGTAAAATTAAGCAAGAAAACAATAAAACACTAAAACCAGTTCATAAAACAATAAAACTTAACTATAAAATCGGAAACTCAGTTGGGGCTGCTGGCGCTGTCACCATCTGACTGGAAGTCTTGCATTTTATGATTCTAATGGCAGAGGTTCACACACACACAGAGAGAGAGAGAGTTATATAGATAGATAGATTGATTGATATTTCTTTCTTTGATGGTGTCTGTATGGTTCTGTCATGGCCTTGGGCTAGTAAAATAAAGCTTATCTTCTGAAAGGTTCTTATCAGGTAGCAGGTGGGCTGCCTGACGCTGGATACGTACATGCCCAATGCCATAGCCAAACCTACTGTTTCCTGTAATCAATAAAGCTGTGGCTTAATTCTGTCTGATCGATATTGATCCAGAGTAGATTCCAATGTATAGCTAGCAGAGTAAAAACTTAAACACACTGCAGGAGTCCCAAAAAAATAGACCAGAGGCAATTGTATTTCATCCAGCAGAGCTTTACTGAGGAATGATGAGGAATGGTGGAATGGAGGAAAGTAGTAGGTCAGGCTTAGCTCGGAAAGAAGGCGATATGAGAGCCATCTTCAAATATCTCAAGGGCTGTCTCATGAAAGATAGAGCAGGTTTGCTTTGTCCTGCTCTGGAAGGTAGGGCCCAAACCAATGAATTCTAATTCCATGAATGGAGATTTTGACTGAACACTAGGAAGATCGTTCTGAGGGTAAGCGTTGTTTGACAGTGGAATGGACCCCCTTGGGGGAATGGACCCTCCACCTTCAGTGGAGGTTTTTAACCAGAGATTGTATGGCCACCTGTCAGGGATTCTTTAGCTTGGACTAGATGACCCTCAGGGTCCCTTCCAACTCTACAATTCTAGGATTCTATGATAAATGCCATTTTGCTCCATTTTGACCTGGCATTGCTATCCCCCACTCTCACCAACTGCCCCCCCACCTCCTTCTGATCTGGGCCAATACCCAATTCCACTCTGTTGCTTGGAAGCAGCTGCCTGTTACTTCACACACCTTTGCTGCCTGTGGACATTCGATGCTCATGGAGCAATATTTGTCTGACTTGGAGCCAGACGTGGTGAGGAAACAGAACTTAGCGGTGTGACCACAGGCTTCCCACCTTGCCTGCTGCATTGTGCACTTCAGTCTCTTAGGAAAGGATGCTGAAGACATCCCATGTCTGTGTAGGTTGCAAAATATGAGCAAATGCCCTGTAAATTTCACAGGACAGGACACAGCACAGACCAACAGCTCACAACCGGCACTAATAATCCTCCCCCAGAATAATATGAGAGCGCGATCCTCACTTTGGAGTGCCCCTCTTCTGAACCCCCCTCTCTCCTCCACAGACACACAACAATGCACACAATTTTATGCCAATGCCTGCCATTGCCAACAATATCAAAACAAAGTGTTGATTCAGCACTACAAGTAAAATACAAACAGCACAACACACACATTCAGACCAGTTCAGAAAGCAGCAGGTTGGTGATCAAAGAGCATTCGGGGGAAAGAGAGGATTATACCTGCCCTTCCTTTGGAAAAACGGATATAGAGGATGATGGATGGCATGGAAGAGTTTGGTGCTGGAATGACTGGGTTGTTTCCAAGACTGCTGTCCTGTTCAGGCAAGAGATTTCTGCTTGGTATAAGACATTTCTTTTTCTTCTTCTTCTTTTTATAAAATATTTATTAAAGTTTAAACATTACAAAAAAGAAAAGAAAAACAAAAGAGAAATATAAACAATAAACAATTACAAAGCCTCAAAAACAAAATCAAATACAACAGTACAAAACATCAACAATACAAAAAAAATAGAAAACAAAACAAAAGCATTTAAAAAACAAACCCAAAAGAGAACAAACATACAAAAGAACCCCATATTTTCATATCCTTATCTTTCGTTAGCTTATTTCCTCGACTTCCTCACACCTCCTTTTTTGTATTCTAGTTCAATTAAATATTCTAGCAAGTCCTTTCCCTCTTTCACAAATTTAGTTCCATAATTTAACTTAACGAAATTTTAGACTTAAATTTACATCTTTACCCAATGTCAATCTATTCATACTTAATTCTTTATAATATTTCTACTAAAGTCATATAACTTCTTTCCAGCATCTTTCTAACATTCATTAATTTTAGAATATTTCTGTAAATAAGCTTTGAATTTTTTCCAATCTTCTTCCACCGACTCTTCTCCCTGGTCTCAGATTCTGCCAGTCATTTCCGCCAATTCCATGTAATCCATCAGCTTCATCTGCCATTCTTCCCTGGTAGGTAGGTCTTGTGTCTTCCAGTGCTTTGCGATGAGTATTCTTGCTGCTGTTGTAGCATACATGAAAAAACCTCTGTCCTTCTTTGGCATCAATTGGCCCACCATGCCCAGGAGAAAGGCCTCTGGTTTCTTTAAAAAGGTATATTTAAATACCTTTTGCATTTCATTATAGATAATCTCCCAGAATGCCTTAATCTTTGGGCATGTCCACCAAAGGTGAAAGAAAGTGCCTTCAGTTTCATTGCATTTCCAACATTTATTATCGGGCAAATGATAGATTTTTGCAAGCTTGACTGGTGTTATGTACCACCTGTAAATCATTTTCATTAAATTCTCTTTTAAGGCATTACATGCCGTAAACTTCATACCAGTGGTCCATAACTGTTCCCAGTCAGCCATCATAATGTTATGTCCAACATCCTGTGCCCATTTAATCATAGCAGATTTCACCATTTCATCCTGAGTATTCCATTTCAATAGCAAGTTATACATTCTTGACAAATTCTTAACTTTAGGGTCTAACAATTCTGTTTCCAACTTTGATTTTTCCACTTGAAAACCTAATTTTTTGTCCTGATTGTATGCCTCCATTATTTGATAATAATGGAGCCAATCTCGCACTCTGTTTTTAATTTTTCAAAGCTCTGTAATTTTAATCTGTCACCCTCTTGTTCCAAAATTTCCCAATACTTCGGCCATTTGGCCTCCATATTGAGTTTTTCTGAGCCTTTGCCTCCATAGGTGACAGCCATCTTGGGGTTTTATTTTCTAACAAATCCTTATATCTTATCCAGACATTAAACAATGCTTTTCTTACAATATGGTTTTTGAACGCTTTGTGTGCTTTGACCTTATCATACCACAAATATGCATGCCAACCAAATACATTATTGAAACTTTCCAAATCCAAAACGTCTGTATTTTCAAGAAGCATCCATTCTCTCAGCCAGCAAAAAGCGGCTGATTCATAGTAAAGTTTTAAGTCTGGCAGGGCAACTCCACCTCTTTCTTTAGCATCAGTTAAAATCTTAAATTTTATACGGGGCTTCTTGCCCTGCCAGACAAATCTGGAAATATCTCTCTGCCACTTCTTGAAACAGTCCATTTTGTCCAAGATTTGCAGTGATTGGAACAGAAATAACATTCTTGGCAATACATTCATTTTTATCACAGCAATTCAGCCTAGCAGCGATAACTTCAAATTCGACCATATTTCTAAGTCTTTTTTCACTTCAGTCCATTGGTATAAGACATTTCCCTCCTCTCCACTGAAGACTCCCCCAGGCAACCTCAAAATCTGCTCTAAAGATTGGAATGACTCTCCAGAACAGATGTGGTGGTTCCTGGGGCAGAGATGGGTTTAGGGCAGTGTTTTACCACATGAGGTGTGGGGTAGGGGTGCTGAGTTTTGTCCTTGCACCAGGCACCACTGAAATTTGAAAGATCAATGTCCACTATTGTCCAGGGAGAGGAGAGGAATCAGGGGTCAATTTGTGAATTTGGAGAAAAGCCATTGAGTTGCAGATGGTGGAGAGAAAGCCCAGGCAGAAATGATGGTATGAGGTGTGGATCTGAAGGACTTAGCATGAGAAGAGCCCTGAAATGGACCAGCCCAAAAGCCTGTCTAGTCCAGCACTCCTTGCTCTTTCCCACAAGCTCACACTCTCCTTTGTAAACCAATAAGAGGCTGTTTTCACAAGCAAGCGGCATAGAAATATAAAAACTCCCATCAGCCTCAGCCTCACATGGTCCTGCATGGGGCGATGGGAGTAGTAGTCCCAAACATCTGGAGGGCACCAGGCTGGTGAAGGCTGTGATGTGACCTGTGTCCAGCTCTCCCATCATCCCCCTTTGGTCTCCATCCCAACAAGGACTTCAAGAATTGCATTCTCGCTCTCTTTCACAGTGGACATTTCTTTTGTTGTCCACCAGCATTACGCTTTCCATTCTGAAGTCGGGAATGGAGTAGTTGCTTTGGAAGACGCTAATCAGGCATCTAAACCACATGACCAGTCCAACAAAGTTGATGTTGAAGAATCATTGCTTTGTCACTGCTGTGGGGGCAATAGCAAAGAACCTTCAGCATCCAAAATAAACCAAAAATGGGAAGTAGAAGAATGACATATGGATATGAATTTATTTACAAATACTGTAAGCCCATTGGTTTTTTGGCCCTCATCAAACTTTGAAATGCAAAGTTGAAGCAAAGTGTAAGAATCTCTGAGAAGATATGCCTTTCATTAATTTAATATAATATAATTTCTATAAAATTTTCTCTTTTGCAATTTAGAATATTCATTTAGACAATCTTAAAATATCAATGACGTCCCGTCTTCTCTTTCCATGGTTCATTTTGCATAGCATAAATCCCTGCATATTTTATCTAAACTAAACCATTCACTATTCCATTATTATTTCCATCAAAATTTATTTACACAGTTGAATTTATCTTAATGCTGCCAACATTTTCAAGTGCACACAATTTCCCCCCATATATTAAAAAAATGTTTTCCAATCTTCTTTAAACAAATATTCTTCTTGTTCTTTTATACTATAAGTTAGATCCTCAAGCTGCCACATATTCCATCAGTTTAAGTTACCATTCTTCTTTGGTTGGGACCTCGCTCGTTTTCCATTTTAGGGCTGCCATAGTGGCATACATAAATAACCTTTTTTGAGGTGTCAAAGAAGATACGTCTTTCCTTTTCCCTGCTATTTGTCCTCCAAATATGGAAAAGGAAAGGATGCTAAGAAATCACACTGTCATTCTTCAATGGATTGCTTGCCAGTGGGTTCCTCTTTGTGTTTTTGCCAGGGAAATGGGAGACATTAAATTCAGCTGACATTTAAAGGTCTGCCCAGCTAATTTGCACTTTCCACAATATTATGTGAACCAGAACAGAATCATCCTTCCAAATTCACTCTTCTTTGAATTTTCCAAGGCAGTTCTCAGGTCACATAACGGGTACCCAAACACACACAGTGGGGTACCAGTGCCACGGATAACCCACAAAAAAGAGCCTTTCAAAACCCTCTAATTTTGTGGCACTATCTCTTGTAGGAGCAAACTCCATTCTTTAACTATGTGCTGTGAAGGATCTTTTTTAAATGCATTATCTGAAGAAACCTTAACTCTGCAAAGGGCATAAGGAGGTCCCTGCTGGATCAGACCAGCAGCCTACAAGAGTCAACCATTGTTGGGAATGGTAACTAGAAGTCTACCAGAAACACACATGTGAGAAACAGCCACACCCTCTCTTGTGATTCTGAGCAACTGAAGTTCAGAGACCTACAGACTCCAGCAGTGGAGGGGAGACAGAGCCCTGGGGGCCAGGAGCCCTGATAGCCCTCTCCTCCAAGAATGTGCTTTTCCTCTATTAACTTCATGGTAAAGTTAATGCATTGCTGGGAAATTAATTCTCCAATGCCATAGTTTCAGAAACAACTCTCTCTGCTTCTCTTTGTCAGTCAGTGACACTAGCTTGGTTTGTGGTCATTCTTCCATATGTGGTTTTGCACAAGAGAATACTCAAATCTGGACGGCTCTTCTCATGTTCTTCTGCCCCGCAGAGTTTGTGAAATCTATCCTGTAAAAGACATTTGGCTTCCCACAAGGTTTCAACAGTCCTCCATCCACCCATAAGTAGAGGAACCTCTCCTTCCCCAGACAACTGCTCTTCCACTTGGCTTCTGGCATCTCCAGGATTCCCACCAACCTCCAGCCATGAAGATCTTCTGCCTCCTCTCTGTCGCCTTCCTCCTCCTGATGCTGGTGGCTCCAGGTATGGCCTTCTTCTCAGATGCTTCTTCTCTGAGCTCCACAGCTCTCAGCTTTATTCATTTTAAACCTGCCTCTGAATACAAGTTGCTGGGAATTCCAAAGGGATGGGTAGGGAATTCTCTTGCCCCTCGGTCCCCCTTGAGAGCGTCCCAAATGGGGCATCTGGTTGGCCACTGTGAGACCAGGTTGATGGACTAGATGAGTCCCCTTTGGCCTGATCCAGCAGCCAGGCTCTTAGGATCTGATTGCCATCCCAGTCCTAAAGTATGGAATCTGATCCAAAGAAGCTGTTGCTTAAAAATCTTTAATAACACATTTCAGTAAATTCAGCTTTGTGGTGGGGAAGAGAGTGGGCCAGTTTCCTGGGCAAGGGGGCTTCTCTCTCGAAGGTTGCCAGTGGCTCCCAGGGGAGTGACTTCAAAAAAAGCCGTTCTCAATTTCTACCATAGTTGACATTTCCCTGCTTCCTCTTCTTGGGTGGGAACTGGTGGAGACCATCGGGGAAGGCTTTTGGGCTGGGCTCACCCTCCCCTCCAGGAATTGGTCTAATCCTCTCTTAAAATCATCCAATTTTGTCAACATCACTACATCTTGGACAAGCCAGTGGGACTTTGTGACACTGGTCGTGAAAGTATTGCACTGGCTGCCAGTGAACTACAGGGTTCAATTTAAGGTGTTGGGATGAGCATGCTCAAAAGTGCTCCTAAATAAGCTTGCTTTTAACCAAAACACCTGGGGACCATCCCCCCCACCTGCCGCTGGGAATATATTCATTACTATTTTTAAAATGAATGCCCTGCTTTTTTCTGTCCACAAAATATTTGTTCAAAGGCTATAAGCAACATCGATCCAACCACTAAAATAAAGAACAAACTGAAAACAGAAGCAAAAACGATAGCATTGGCCAGTTTGGTTAATTTTGGTTTCTCACAGTGTCTCCTCTTCCAAGCTGCAGCTGAGTCTTCCACAGTTCCATTTCAGTTTGCTTAAACAACAAAACAAGAGAACTCAGCATTTCTGCGTGGATTTCTCCTGATAAGATGTTTGTATATAATTTTGCCTGATCTGCAGATTTTGGCAGGGCAATTTCCCTTGGTGAAATTCATTTTGGCATGATATTTCCATGAATATATATGGGAACATCAGAGATACCCTTTGCCCTGGGTGTGCTTGGCCATATTGGCCGGGTCTAAATTTTTTTTTTTTAAAGAAGCAGTTTAATGACCGCCTCTTTCAGTGGGTCTTGGAAGACTCCCTCACAGAGAGAAGCATTCACCACGCCAAAGAGAGCCCCTCACCCAGCCCTTCCCGGATCACTTTTATGAGCCAGGACGGGCAAGGATCAAGGAGACAGGTGGTTCACTCATCCAAGCAGCCTGTCCACATCCTTGGAGGTAACAGATTAGAACTGATCCCATGCAACTTGACTAGACAGGACTCTAGCACTCTCCCACCCTGGCCCTGGTCCCACGGTGGCATCTCCCTCTTTCCAAATTTGAGCAACTTTATCTGCAAAAAACTTTGCAAAATCACAGCAGGAGATATTGGGGTCCTTACCAGGCCCCGATGGCAAAGGTGGTTCTATTAAATTATGATCCACCTGTAAGAGTCTCCTGCTGCAATTTTCTGCATCTGCAATAGAGGCAGTTAAGAAAGTCCTCTTCGCCGTCTCTTTCACCACTTGGTGGGCTCAGTGTTGAGCTCTAACCCGTATCCGGTCTGATTTAGAATGAGTTTTCCGCCACCATTGCTATAGCCGTTTCAGCGATTGTTTCATTGCCCTCAGCTCTGGGGAAAATTACAGGACTGTCCGGGCTCCATGCAATCAGAAAGGGCACTTCGGAGCCAGAGTCGATAGCCCTGGTTAACCCCACATTCCAGCGGGCCACCAGGGAATCAGCTGAAAGGCCATCAGCATGGGATAATGCATTCCCTACCACTCTCTGGAAGCCAATTGGATCCATTAAGTGGTGGGGGCAGACTATCTGAATTGGTCCCACCTCCCTGCAGAGGAGAAGGGTCACAGAGAAGTCCAGTTGCACCAGGAAGTGATCTGACCATGGCACTTCTTTTGTTTTGCTTTGACTTAGTGTCAGATCACCCACATTCATAGAGGAAAACATCAGTTCCGCAGCTATGAGTTGGGCCAAACTTATTCAGGGACAGCCCCATGGAGGCCATGTTTTCCATGAAGTCCCAAGCAGCCCCATGTAAGTTTGTGTTGGCATGGATGTTAAAATCCCCTTGGACAATCAAACTAGGTGTCCCCAGGAGAACATCCGCCAAGACCTGAAGCAGCTCGGGCAGGGAATCCTTGGTGCAGATGGGAGGTTGGTACACCAAAAGGAATCCTGAACTGCCCCTATTGCCCAGCTTTCAGAACATACACTCAGAAAACTGGGTCTTCCCAGCAGGGTGCCTGGTACAAGCTAATGACTTCCTAAAAATCACTGCAAATATGACCTGGGTTTCTGTGCATAAGAGAAATCTGGTAGATAAGCAGCAGCAAGAACAGGCCCATCTGCTTCATCCAACCAAGTCTCTGTCACACATGCCAGGTCAAGTCCTCCATCCACAATAAAATAATGGATGGCAGTGGTCTTGTGAATCATTGACCTGGCATTGCACAGCAGCACCTTCAGGTCATGTAGATCTCCCTTGTTGATTCCAGTGTCCTTCCAGTCAGGACCAGACCCGGAGGCAGGAATAGTCTTCTAACAACAACTAAACCTGCCTCCTTGGTAATGACGTGGGCTGGTCTTAGCGTAACTCCTCCTCCTGCCCGTGATCACTGAAATCAGGTGTCCCAGTGCATCCCCCACCCCCCGGTGGAACCTGCCCCAGCCATTCTGTTGGCTGGGACCCACTCCCAAGCAGCCCTGAGCCTCTCCCCTTCAGAACAGAATACAAACTATACAATAAACCAATAAAACAGTAGAAACTAATTAAAAAACAACGACAATTTACAGCTATACTAAAATTAAACTAATCCCCAGCCCCAACTAAATGTTTATCCCACCCGCAACAGAGCAGAGAAAAAGAAAAAAATAAACCACCAAAGATTAAAAACTATTTAAAAACATTTAAAAGCATTTAAAAGCATTTTTGACATTTGCCCCAACCCGAGTTTGTTCCATTGAGTCTGGGCTCTTCAGCACTCACGGCAGGACAATGTCCCTCTGTCCCAGGAGTCTGCTTTCTTCCTATTAGGTAATTATTTACTATTGCACAGATGCTATATATTTAAGAGCATACATGCTGCCTGCTTTAATCTCTTCCATTGAAAATGATAAGTAAATATTGAGATATTTCCTAAATTGCACACTGTTATCCTGTATCAAACCAGAATTGCACCATGTGTCTGTTTTTTTGCAGGGGGTGGGGTTGCTGTCAATATTTATTTCTCCCCCCATCAGTGTTCTGCTTACCATCTGGACTCTGCCCAAAACATTGATCTACAAAAGCCACTGGGGATCCCAGGGAATCCAAGCACCACTCTCCAGGGAATCGCAGAGATGAAGGTTCTGGCCCTCACCCTCTTCTGCCTCCTCCTTGCAGGGAATGAAGCCAAAGTGTATAAGAGATGTGAACTGGCTGCGCGACTGAAACGGGCTGGGATGGATGGATATCGTGGCGTCAGCCTGGCCAACTGTGAGTTTGCTCTTCCTTTCCCTTCAGCTTTGCTATTTCTGGTGTTTTGGGGCAAAGCTGAAATGGGGACTTCTTTTCAGGAAAGGGTTCACACAAACCCTGCTGCCCATCAGAATGCCCCAACTTTCATTAATCTTTGAAAGATCAAGAAGCTACACATCCATAGGGCCAAACCAAATTTATCCACCTTACTAATGTGAGATTATGAAAAGTACTAGTCAGCTGGAATGCAAGAAACTTAAGTGAAAATGTCTATTTAAGACCATGGGGGGCGGGGTTAGACGTTACAGACAGCTTTTACAGTGAACATTGTAAGAATGTTTTTAAATTATTCTGTTTCAAAATGCTGCAACTTTGACAAAAAAGATTGCACACCCAGCGTGTACCCAAATTGTAAGCCTTTTCTTGTTCACTTTGTTCCAGGGATCTGTACTGCTTATCATCAAAGCTCATTTAACACTAGACTCGTGGGGCCACAAACCTCCAGCGGCAATCGTGAGTATGGAATCTTTCAGATAAGCAGCCGCTGGTGGTGCGACAATGGACATGGCTCAACAGCCAATGCATGTGGGATCTCCTGCTACGGTAAGCAACTTGATACTACAGGGAATGCTAGCTTCCACTTCTTTAATTCAGTTCAAATCTACCTAATTTGCACTTTCTGAAATAATACACAGACAAACACACTGCACATTCTTCAAAACTCACACTTCTAATCTTGCAATGCACTTCTCAAGCCAACTGCATTGGGCACAGTATGCCTATAAATATATATATATTTACAAAAAATTGCATACAAAAGTGCATTAAAAAGGTAAAGGGACCCCTGACCATTAGGTCCAGTCATGGCCGACTCTGGGGTTGCGGCGCTCATCTCGCTTTATTGGCCGAGGGAGCCGGCGTAAGTGCATTAGATTACAGAAAATTGCATACAAAGCTGTCATTCAGGAGAATTTCACACAAAATAACTGCTGGATTTTTTAAAAAAGAAAAGAAATCCACAACCTCCACCCCCAGGTGTATCTGTCCAGCTCTCAGGACTGTCCTTAGTCAGTGTCCCCAATGTTTTTGGTATGGTGACCCACAAATCCAAACTTAAAAGACTTGGTGACTACAGATTTATTGTCAAATGAATTTTGGACCTTAGGACTTCCAGAAATGCTGGTACTAATATCTTAATAAATTTTAAAATGTGTCTCCTATACTTCCTGTACCCCCTTCTTTGTTGAATTTGTGGTGAACTTTTAATGACAGGGTTAATAATAAAAATTAAAACTACATAATGAAATTCAAAATGTTTCACATAGTATAGGTTCCATTTATTTGTTTGAGTTAAAGCCATTGGGGTGATCATAGGGAAAATTGTAGAGAGTACAGTACAGTCATTGCTGCTTCCCTCTCCCCAAACTTCATGTTTACCATGGGAAGCCAGCTGTGCCCTGTTTGTCCTGACTGTGTCACTTAATATTGTTTTTACATGCAAACGTACACACTGGTACCACTGTTGTCCAATAACACCAGGGAGCACTCCCTGTACCAGGAAAATCTATACAAGGTAGCCAGACGACACTATTGTGTACACACAGAGCACACACATGCCCTCGCACATACACATCACAGACATACATGAAGTTTTGTGTCTCTCACTCTGCCTTATACTGCACAGATATACAATCACTCAGATATGCCTCTCTCTCTCTGCTCAGGTGCTTGTCTTCCTCTCTCTCTCTCACGCACCACATGTGCATGCATGCATCCCTCCGCCTGCACCAGCAGAGTAGTGTGGGTTGCTGCCCCCCTCCCCTGGTGGACAGGGCATTTGGGGCGGGCGCATGGGGGTGGCACAATGGAAGACAATCTTACTCAGCTACAAGTGATCGCCAAAGAGGAATGTAACCCCTTTTTCTCACTTGCACGAAGCAACATGTAAATCTGTCCCTCCCTTCCATCCATCACACACACAGACATCACGCATAACATCTCTCCCACCTTCCTCACACAGCTTGCACATCTCTCTTGCAGTAACACAAACATTACTTGAGCGCTAACATCCCAATTCTAAAAAGCATCTTCATAAGGCTAAAGAACCATCCGTCAACAGCACCACCTAGCGGGCTGCGAGGAGACCTAGGCCTCTCCTTTAGTTTTCCAACCCTTCTGTCGCCAGCACAAGGCAAAAGAGGCACCTGCTGGTGGTTGGTGGATAGCAGAATCCTGAATCTGCCAGGACGTCCCTGCTGCTCCTCCCCAACCCCCTCCATTCCATTTAGCCTTACTTACTGTGGGACAAACGAGGCACTCACTGCTTGCTGGCAGGCAGCAGCAGCCTGAGCATGCAGGGATAACCCCACAGCTCCTTCCTTCCTTTCCCAACCTTTCATTTCAAGTAAACATCTGAAGGCAGGCAGCTGTGTGAACAAAAGTCCTAGCACTCCTTGCCAAAGTTTTCCAACAGGGGGAGAAAGCACTGAAGCAATCGACCCACTTCTACAGGTTTGGCTGCCCACTTGCAGGTTGAGACCCACAGGCTGGGAAACATTGCCCTACGCCAGGGGTAGGCAACCTAAGGCCCATGGGCCGGATGCGGCCCAATCTCCTTCTCAATCCGGCCTGCGGACGGTCCGGGAATCAGCGTGTTTTTACATGAGTAGAATGTGTACTTTTATTTAAAATGCATCTCTGGGTTATTTGTGGGGCATAGGAATTTGTTCAATTTTTTTTAAATATATGGTCTGAGGGACGGTGGACCGGCCCACAGCTGAAAAAGGTTGCTGACCCCTGCCCTAGGCCATGACCTCTCACTAGGCCATGCTCTGTCCCACTGCCTCTGCTCTGTATCCTCCTGCTTTTACCGGGTTGCAATGTGTCCTGGAACTGTGACCTTGCTTAGAATCATAGAATCATAGAGTTGGAAGAGACCACCAGGGCCATCGAGTCCAACCCCCTGCCAAGCAGGAAACACCATCAGAGCACTCCTGACATATGGTTGTCAAGCTGCTTAAAGACCTCCAATGAATGAGACTCCACCACACTCCTTGGCAGCAAATTCCATTGTCTGGATGGAGGATGAGATGGCCATTTTTAAAGAACTGATTTCTTTCTCTGGCTAGAATGCAGCTGACTAGAAGGGATCCCCCGCTTGGTGCTATAATGATTGAATGCCAGCTCAAGGGGAAAATGATTTAAGTGCCCCCCAAAAGTATTCAGACTTGGAGTTGGATGGACCTCTAGGAAAAGGTTTTCCACAGTTCAGAGGCAGCCCCTGCAGCCTTGGGGGTGTTTGTATTCTGGGGTTTGCATTTTAGGAATCCCCAGTAACCTCCTTTGCTTTCTGACAAATCTTTGCCAGCGTTCTTAAATGATGACATCACAAATGATATTAACTGTGCCAAGAGGATTGTCCGTGACCCTCAAGGGATGAACGCCTGGTAAGTGCTAATATCTCAGTGACTGGAACATTCAATACCAGCCAAGTTTTCAGTTCACATAACTATGTGAAGAAAGATGGTTTCACTTGACTGTTGTACAGCTGGCAGCTAAAGATCCTTCCCCAATAGGCACTGACAAGGGCTAAAGATGCTTCCTTAAATGTACAGCCAGTAGTGCCCCCACTGCTCTGGGACCCTTCTCCACTTCCCCTGAGTAACTGGCAGCATCACACAGTGCTGGGAAGCCAGGAAAAGACCACAGCCCCACCCGCATCACAAAGCCAGCCACCACTGTGTGCAGCAAACACTTGGGTGGCTGGTGGCTACTAGGAGCTGTTAGTAGCTGTCTTGGTGGGGATTTAAGGAAATGATTTGGCAACTGAGCCAATGTGTAGTAGTGGTAAGAGAGGACCTGGGAGACCAGAGATCAAATCCTGACTCAGCCAGGAAGTTCACAGGTTGACATTGAGTCAGTCACTGTCTCACAACCCAGCCTACACGACAGTGTTTTTCTAAGGGGAAGAACCATGTATGCCACCTTGAGCTCCTTGGAGAAAAGGTGGGGTATAAATGTAGTAATAAATAAATTGGAATGCAGGAAAGGAGGAGACAGCCTGAGTTCTGTCATGGGCTGGAGCGAAGTCCTGGGGCAGATGGTTCACTTCCCAAGTTTGCTTGGAGGTCTTTCACAGAAGGCTATCAATGCTTAGCAGCCACAATGACTCTGTTCCGCCTCCTTTGTTAGACACAATGTGCCTCTGAATGTGCCTCTCACTCACTGGATCATCACCTTGTCATGGTGAGTGGGCTTGTATGTTCCTATGACCCTTGTGAGCGAAGCTGTTGGGAGTCGCGTACTCCCAGCAGGGTCACCCAAGGCTAAGGTCAAAGGGAAGGAGCTAGACAAAGAATGATCGAAGAAGTCCTCAACAGCAGAACAGGTGGCATGTTACAACGGATGTGAAGGCGGGTGAGGGCTGCAGCAGATAAGAATTTACCGGTCGTTGTTATACTCATGCCATCGGGATAGAGCTTTACTGTGAAGACTGTGTGTTGATCAGCATGCACTGATCTACACACATACAACAAATTCACACACAGGCATCTTCTAAAAAAAATCCCAAACCCAAACCCCAAAAAGTCCCATAGTGGTTGGCAAATGTTTATGTGGGCAAGACCGTGAAATCTAGAAGCCCCTAGTCAGGAACCGGCACGTGGGTGGCAGATACAGACAGATTCAGCCATTCTGACTCAAGGAATGAGGCAGTGAGCAGCTCAGCAGCTCTGTCCATGACTGAGCAGTAAAGTTCCACGGAGGATGGGGAGCAAAATTTTGCTAGAAGGGCATCATGGGCTATTAACAGATGGACTTCCCATTCACCACCAAAACTGATCATCAGCAGGGACAATGAACGGGAAGAAATACTCTGTAGCTGACACAAATGCCTCACTTGGAAATGTTGTGGAGCTTTTAAAGAAGATCCATCTCACTTGTAGTTACTTGGAAGCCACAGTCATGTGACTTCCCTCACTTCATTTTTTACTCTCATTCTGACTTTTAGGTATGCTTGGCAGAAATTTTGCAAAGGAAAAAATCTCTCAAAGTGGACAAAAGGTTGCAGACTCTGAGTTCCATGGTCCTGAATGAATTCCAGCATTTCTCTTGAGATCCCCTTTGATGAAACATCTACCTGCTGCCATATAATCAAAATCCAGCTGCTTCTTTCTGGGCTAGCATTTGCATGTTGTGCCCCACCCCATGGCCCTCTTTCTATATGAGGGAAAGTGATTATTATTTTTAAGTGTGTCTGGGGTGGTCAGTCATCTTGCTCTGGATTGCAAGCTTCTCTGCTTGAAAATCTTCAATAAATTGAACATAAACAAAACTCTTTTCTTGCTTGATGAGTGAATAGAAAGAACAGAATTAGGTCAAGCATCATCATCTCGTCATAATTTGAAGGGAGGTGCAGAGGCGTATCTAGGTCCCTTGCACCCCTGGCAAGGAGCTGTATGGGCACACACACCAGAAAAGATCACTTCTCCCCCATTTGATCTTGCTGTGACAGCAGCAATGCACTGCCACAAACATACACCTCATCAACTCCATAGTCTCATGCAGTCTACCTTCATGCTTCCTTGCCATCTTTCTCACCACTCAGCTCCCAGCTCTGTCTAAACTCATGACCTTATACAGATAACTAGTGACAGATTTCTGGGGTGACTTACAAATGTCAGATTGGAAAATGGGCCCCAAGTTTGCAGTCAATTTAAAATTGGAACACATCCTGTAATATTCCCATTATTTCCTGACTTTCTCCTGCTTATTACTTCTGGTACATCCTATTATGAAGTTTTCCAGGCATTCTATTATCTCTTCAAATGGCCAGGCCTGCCTTTATATGGACTGGGTCTGCAGTGCTGAGGAAGAGGCTGTGCCTAACCCTTTCTCCCTACATCAGGTGCAACTGCCTTCCTGAAGCTGTCAGCTGAGGGGGAAACTCAAACGTCAGGTGTGGCACCGCAAGATAGCTATATCAACCAACACACATCTCTCCTCTTAAGTCCAGGGGAACTGCTGGGTTTAAGCAGGGTTGGGCAATGGGGATCAGGGGCATGATGGATGAGGCCATAAATTTCCCACTGCAGTCATAAATGCCCACGTACTACAGCGAAATAGTAGTCGGCTAGGAACAGAATTACTGTGCTTGGACAGAGAATGACACATCAGACGTGAAACCTAAAACAGGACGTAAGTAGGAGCCCAGGGCCCTTCTGATCCCATGTCTTTGTGCTTGAGCTTTAAAAATGGGGAAATTCCAGCTTCACAAACAGTTATTGGAAATATTCCTTATTTCCCAACTGTTCAACTTAATCAAACCTTGTTCTGGTGGTATGGATTTATTCGGTTGGGGTGGTGCACATCTCTTTGTTTAAGCAATCCCTATCAGTTCAAAAATTGATGCTTTCAAATTATGGTGCTGGAGGAGACTCTTGAGAGTCCCATGGACTACAAGAAGATCAAACCTCTCCATTCCTAAGGAAATCAGCCCTGAGGGCTCACTGGAAGGACAGATCCTGAAGCTGAGGCTCCAATACTTTGGCCGCCTCATGAGAAGAGAAGACTCCCTGGAAAAGACCCTGATGTTGGGAAAGATGGAGGACACAAGGAGAAGGGGACGACAGAGGACGAGATGGTTGGATAGTGTTTTTGAAGCTACCAGCATGAGTTTGACCAAACTGCGGGAGGCAGTGGAAGACAGGAGTGCCTGGCGTGCTCTGGTCCAGGGGGCCACAAAGAGTTGGACACAACTAAACGACTAAACAACAACAACATCAGTTCCCCATTGCTGGTGGCCAGGAAATATACAGAACATTTCTTCTCTCTTTTTTTCACCAGAGCTTAAGTAAAATTCCAGTAAAACACTTAAAAAACAACAACACAGTGTTGCCCCTTAGCTGTACATTTGGCATTCACTAACTGCAGTTTTCTGCATATCCTTTGGCTCTTCAGCTTGATGTCAATGGCCACATGCTAAGTTCTCCACTGATGAAAATGAAACAAACCACTGCATTTGGAACCTAACATCATCATCATGTTGGTGACTTTATCTTTTCCAAGGCAACCCAAAGTTACAAAAAACAACAACCCAAAACCCCACACCTAGATACATTAAAACAAGAGGGGAAAGAGAGAGAAAATCTCACTTCTAGAAGGCCACAGATAGTTCAAGGCTAAAGGCCAAATGCCTGGTTATAGAGGACAGTTTTGCCTGATGCCTAAGGATATAAATGATAGTGTCAGGTGAGCTTCCCAAGGGAAAGCAGCCCACAAGCAGGGAGCCACCGCAGAGAAGGCCTCTTCTTGTGTTGCCAGAGGAGGCACATGAAGAAGGGCCTCAGATGATGATGGCAGCATCCAGGTCGGTTCATATTGAGAGAGGCAGTCCTTGAGGTATTGTGGTCCTCAGCCATTTAAGGCTTGATAGGTTAAAATCAGCACTTTGAATTGGGCCTGGAAACTAAATGGCAGCCAGTGCAGTCAGGCCAGGATCAGTGTGCGATGCTCAGTGTGAGATACTGGAGGATACTGGAAGCCAGCACCTCCAAGGTTGCTTTCTCTGAAATGCTGCCAGTTCCACGCACAAAGCCAGACAGACTCCGTGGTCTCAATGTGTGGACGAGACAATGGGATCAGGAGAAGGGGTTTGGATTTGTTAGGCACTGAGAAGGTCTAGGGAGCAAGTGGGTTTGGGGATCCCTGGCTAGGTGGGACCAGAGACCCAGCTGGCCTGCAACTCAGTGAGATGAGGAAGGCACTTCAGCCCTGTGGGATTCAAGCAAAGGTCTGGCCCTCAAGGCCCAGCCCTGCTGGGCTCAACCTTCAGAAGGCCGGTCACGGCCCTTGGCCCCTGGCCCTGCCCTCGCTGCCACAGCCAGATGGGGAGCCCAGAGGAGACTGCAAGGAGCGTCTTGACACTGGCCTTGGAGCCAAGCATTTCCACTGCAGTGGCTCTGGATTGAAGGTTTCAGGGGGTTCAGTGCAGCCCCAGGTGTGTGCCCAGCTAGAGAACCCCAAACCCCAACCCCAAACCCCTAGGTTAGATTACTGGAACATGTTATACTTGTTCTGAAGATGGTTCGGAAACTTCAGCTGGTGCAGAATTCAGCAGCCAGGTTGCTCACTGCAACAAGATGGTCTGAGCCTATGACATGGACCCTGGCCTGACTGCAGTGGCTGCCTATTAGTTTCCCAGGGCAGAGCACTGATGACCCAGTCAGGCGACTTTTAAAAGCTTGTCATTGCTTTTGCATTTATTTATTTTTAATTTCTTGCAAAACCATTTGTCAGGGGTTCAGGGACAGAGGCACAGGGTAGGCAGGAGATGGAGAGCGATGGGGATGAATCCCAGGACAGCGAGGAAGAGGATGACAATGACTCAAGAGATTCCATGAGTCTTTCCAGCGAATCAGAGGATTCCCAGAAGGGGCGCCGGTGGTCAAGCCCAGGGAGCCCCAGGGGAGGTGTCAGAAGCCGGGGGCCAGCTGGGCATCCAAATGTGGCTGCTGGGTTTCAGGACCTGCCACCCCGCCTGATTCCAGCGACGGGGGTGGTGGTTTCTGTGTGTCAGGGAAGCGGCTCCGGCAGCAGAGAAAGGAGGGAGGTCGGAGCAAGCCATCCTCCCGGAAGGGAGGGAGCAGTGAAGGGAGTAGTGTAGCTGTTGAATGGACGGTTAGAGGCTGGGCGCGCGCGCCCAGTTCAAATGTAGAGGCGCGCGGAAGTACAGGGAGCCCGGAGGAGGGGCCCGGTCCCAAAGCCCGCAGGCGGGGTGTAGAGCAGTCTGATTCCGCGTCAGAGGAATCCAGGAGGGGCGACACCCCAGCGGGCAGAAGGACCCTGCGGAAAGGAAAGAGAGAAAGAGGTGGGGCAGCGTAAGCCTCTTAAACTGGTGCAGGGGAGGGACGGATTCAGAGGGGACTTCAGCGGTCTAAGCGTAGCAGACGTAGGGCTGCGCGCCTAGGATGTCAAGCAAACAATGAACTGCAATAAACACTTTTGTATATAAGAAGACATAGGCGTTGGTCTTTTGTGAGCTGAGACTTGAGGCAGCCCTGACACCATTATATTGAGGTTCTCCCTCTCCAGTAGTGACAGATCATTCAAGCATAGTCCATTCACATTAAGGGAGATTAGTTTTAAAGTCATAGAATCAAAGTTTATTGTGGTAGACGTTTTAATTTTTTTCTTGGAGCCATAAGACAGCTCTCAACAAGAAGCAAGCCAATGGACACAACAGTGAGGAATGGGATTAACGCAGGCAAACAGCCTAAATAAAAAAACCAACAAACCTTATAAACGGTAAAGTGAGGGTGACCTGAGAAGCCAGGGGCAGCCTGGAGCAGTTGGAGGCTGCACTCCACGTCACTGAACAGCATGGAGCAGGCAGGGACTATAGCTGTGCCTCAGACCCTCTTCTCCTGTCAGGAGAACCAAATAGAGGGGGGCCAGTGCCCCTCCCCCCCAAAAAATAATAATTTGTGCAGTGGCATTTTAGGGATTGTTCTTTCTGCCAATTTTAGGAATGTGCTTTGACCAGTCTTCTGCTTCTTTATTGCCATCACATGCCAGATCTTGAGGGGAGGGGTTCAATTCTAAGCATGGCTAATGCATGGATCTCACTGCTTGCTGCCATTAGATGCCCTTTGTATGGGAAAAGTGGCTTGAAAGGGAAGGCCCATCTGTACAAATAGCTGACTTCATTTGAGGCCAGAGTAAATGCCTAAGAATATCTGCACTTTCTCAAGTTTCCATACAAGTACCCTGGTAAATTTCAATCACACTCGAATCAAACTTCAGTTCCCTTACATGCATGGTGAGGTAGATCCTTAATTCTGTATTTTAAAACTCTGATAGTGTTCTCAGTACTGAACACTTCAGGGAGGAAATCAAAATCCACAGAATGAAACTGATGATAAATTGGGTGAGTCCTCCCTCACCCTCGCTCTCCAGTATTCTACAGACCCTAATATTTTTCCTGCAATCGCCCTTTGAGGGCACCTCTTCTTTTTCCTCTAAATTATTTTCCACCATTTGTAGCTGCACAGGAGGGCAACCAAGATGATCAAGGGTCTGGAAGCTAAGCCTTATGAGGAACTGGAGATGAAAGCGCTCCTCAGTCTATGTGTTCGAGACATCGTGACCTTTCCAATATGGCCCTGTCACCAAACCGTGGTAACTTGGTTCTCTTGAAATCCGGAGAGACAAGTGATATCCCGTATGCTATAGGACTTTCAATAAGACATGTCGGAGACCAGATCTGGGTTTACACACCTTTCATGCAACATTTATTTCACATAGTCAGGTATACTTGAATACATTGGTACCAAGAGGTTCAAACATTCACAGTTCATTCACCCATACTCACAAGGCCCTTCACGTGGGTTGATCATGCCTCACGCAAGAGCTGTGGGTGTCCAGCTGTGGCATAGTCCCGGCACACTGAGGGCATGCAGAGAGTCCTTTTTATAGCCTTCTTCCCCCATTGCCATCTGTGGGCTGGCTTGGAGAAGGATTGAATCTCCACCGCTCTTCTTCTGCTCTCCTCCTGGACCACCACCAAGTTGCCTCTGCAGCTGCACCTCAGAACATACAGTGTGTCCTAGGCCTTTATCTCATGTCCGTGGCCCATTGCCAGTTCCTCCCTGTTTTTGTCTGGGGCTTTTTGCTTTCAGTAAACAACACCACAGTCATACATTCCTCTTTGATCAAACTAATTTCTCGCTACACTTGCCAGCATATCATGCTTTGCGAATTCTCCATTTTCTTTTGGGCCTAACATTCATACTACACCTTCATGACAACCCCGAGCAATATAAAGACATCTGCTGTCAAAACATGAAAATCTGGCAAACAAATATGTTCAAAATTTTGAAAGGCTTTTGGAAAAGCAGGAATACCAGCAATCATATTTCAATAAACAAGTAAAAGTCTCAGATAAGATGCAGATTATATCTTACAAAGTGACTGAACTCATTGCTTAACAGACAAGACCACATACAATAGGTGGGGGGGGGATTATTAAGCCTGCCTGCGGTTTGTGAAAAAATTGTTGGATAATGATGGAAATGCTTGTCTGATGACGCAATTCACAGAAGAAAAGCTGATATGTCAACTAATCTTCAGGAAGCATCTTTCTGATAGTATGAAGAATTCTATATTTGCCTTTTAAGTTGATGAATCTATTGACCTTAGGTGTTTTATACTTTCTGAATGTTCCATAATCACATTATGAAGTAGTTATGTTGGAAATGTAACGAAGCAGTAGGAGCAATGGATCATGTATGGTGATGTAAAAAAATAGGAGAATTCTGAGATACAATCTACAATGAGTTTAAAAAAGATGTTTAAATTATCATTTCCAAAAAAGCCAGAAGCTTTCCTTCTAGGAATCATTGTGGATGAGATCCCCAAAGATCTGAAGAAGTTATTTATGTACGCCCTAATAATACCAACGAAGAGGGACTGGCAAGCGAAACTGATGGAATATGTGGAGATGGATAAGCTGACAGGGCAGTTAAGAGACCAAGAGTACCAAAAAGTTAACAGCAATTGGAGTAATTTTTAAAAATATCTGAAAGATTACTGCGCCGATTTAAATTTTTTGACTGGGCTAGATTGACTCTTGTAAAGATAACCAGTAGAAACGGTAAATAGAAGATTAGATACAACTGGAAAGGCATACAACAAAGAATTCTATGGACCCTAGTAAGACGTGGAAGGAAGTCCAATGCAAACAAAGTAACAACGTTCAGTAGATAAGTAACATATTTATTTTATTTTTTGTTTATGCATACATGTTCAATGGTGGAATGTTGAGATTTCAATTATTTATAGTGAATGTTGACGTGTATGAAAAGGGTGGTTGTAAATCAACAGAAAAACCAATAAAGATGTAAAACAACAACCCTTAACCTATAGTTTCCCCCCTATATGAATTCTTTGATGGGTCAAGAGATTGTCCTTCCGACTGAAACTCTTTCCACATTCCAAACACTGAAATGGTTTCTCCCCTGTATGAATTCTTTGATGAGAAGTGAAACCGCGCTTCCGCAGAAAGCTCTTTCCACACTCTTGGCAGTGAAATGGTTTCTCCCCACGATGAATACTTTGATGACTATGGAGGTTTGCGTTTGTCTTAAAGCTCTTTCCACATTCCAAACACTGAAATGGTCTCTCCCCTGTATGAATTGTTTGATGAGAAGTGAAACCGCACTTCCGCAGAAAGCTCTTTCCACACTCTTGGCACTGAAATGGTTTCTCCCCACGGTGAATACTTTGATGACTATGGAGGTTTGTGCTTGTATTAAAGCTCTTTCCGCATTCAAAGCACTGATATGGTTTATCTCCAGTATGAATTCTTTGATGGGCTGAGAGATTGGCCTTCACACTGAAGCTCTTTCCACATTCCAAGCACTGATATGGTTTCTCCCCTGTATGAATTACTTGATGGGCCTTGAGAGTGGACCTCTCACTGAAGCCCTTCCCACATTCCAAGCACTGATGTGGTTTCTCCCCACGGTGAATTTTCTGATGCCGATATAAGTTTGCGCTACTGTTAAAGCTCTTCCCACATTCTGAGCACTGATATGGTTTCTCCCCTGTATGAATTACTTGATGTGCTGTGAGAGAGGACCTCACACGGAAGCCCTTCCCACATTCCAAGCAATGATATGGTTTCCCCCCTGTGTGAATTATCTGGTGGGCTGTAAGATTGGACCGCTGTCGGAAGCTCTTTCCACATTCTGAGCACTGATACGGTTTCTCCCCAGTATGAATTCTTAGGTGGGAAGTGAAGTAGCTGCTGTTACTGAAGCTCTTTCCACATTCCAAGCACTGATATGGTTTTTCCCCAGTGTGAACCTTCTGGTGTTCACGGAGGTTTCCGCTAATTTTAAAGCTCTTTCCACATTCCAAGCACTGGTATGGTTCCTCCCCTGTATGAATTCTTTGATGGGTCATGAGATTGGTAATCTCACGAAAGCTCTTTCCACACTCCAAGCACTGATAGGGCTTCTCCCCTGTATGAATTCTTTGATGGGAAAAGAGCCTTGCTTTACTACCTAAGCTCTTTCCACATTCCAAGCACTGATAGGGCTTCTCCCCTGTATGAATTCTTTGATGGGTTGTAAGATGGGCCCTCTCACGGAAGCTCTTTCCACATTCCAAGCACTGATATGGTTTTTCCCCAGTGTGAACCTTCTGGTGTTCACGGAGGTTTCCGCTAACTTTAAAGCTCTTTCCACATTCCAAGCACTGGTATGGTTCCTCCCCTGTATGAATTCTTTGATGGGTCATGAGATGGGTCCTCACACGAAAGCTCTTTCCACACTCCAAGCACTGATAGGGCTTCTCCCCTGTATGAATTCTTTGATGGGAAAAGAGCCTTGCTTTACTACTTAAGCTCTTTCCACATTCCAAGCACTGATAGGGCTTCTCCCCAGTAGGATTTATTCGATGGGAAGTGATATGGGAGCTCTGGCTGAAGTTCGCTCCACACGGCCTCTCCACTGTGCAGATTTTGTGGTGGCCTCCCTTCTTTATTTCCAATTCATCACCTTCTGCAACGAGGAGAGAAACCGATTAGAGCCTCAGGAAGAAATGGAGCCCCAAATTATTGAACAATGCTAATGAACACTTGTGATAGAGGAAGAACTGAGGGCATTAGTCGTGAGGTCTTACTACAGAGCTTTCCAAACTGTGTTTTGCGACACATTAGCGTGTCAACTACAGTGTGTAGCTCTTTCGCACAAACTCACCCCACGCTCCTCCTGGGGCTGGAAAGGGGTTAGTTGCTTGTAAAACTGAATTACTGTGTCATGAAATGATGCAAAACTGAATTACAGTGGTACCTCAGGTTACATACGCTTCAGGTTACATACGCTTCAGGTTACAGACTCTGCTAGCCCAGAAATAATGCTTCAGGTAAGTACTTTGCTTCAGGATGAGAACAGAAATCGTGCTCTGGCGGCGCGGCAGCAGCAGGAGGCCCCATTAGCTAAAGTGGTGCTTCAGGTTAAGTACAGTTTCAGCTTAAGAACGGACCTCCGGAACGAATTAAGTACTTAACCTGATGTACCAATGTACTGTGTTGCAAAATGATGCATGTCTAAAAAATGTGTCACCAACATGAAAAGTTTGGAAAGCTCTGTACTCCAGGGTTCACTGCCTTTTTTGACTGGCATTCACTGACCTATTTATAGGAACCTGAGATTTGAAAAGTCTGGCTCGTTCCTGGGATGGATTTTGTTTGGCTCATGAAATCCGCTCCATCTCCAGTGTCAATTGTCTCTTTGGTCAACCAAAAACTGATGGAAGCAAAAAGAAAAAACCTGACAAAAGCTACTTCCACTTCCCCATCAACTCTGCAGTCTATATTTTAAAAGGCCTAGGAAGTTCAGCCTGATCATGATTAAAAAGGCATAACCGGAGGAAGAATATTCACAGAAAAGCGGTAGGTAGCCTTCCATTCAAGGTAAGCTGGTGGGGTGTTAGAATCCCAGATTCTGTAGGTGGGAAGTTCATCACATAGATATATGTCTTGAATTTAAAAACAGATATTATGATCCAACGGAGCCTTACCGAGAGAGTCCAAGATCCCACGAGTCTCCTCCATGACTTCCTTAGGCAGAGCTCTCTGGTCAGGATCCAGCAACGCTCACTCCTCGTCCGTGAAACAAGCAGCTACATCTTCAAAACACACTGCACCCTAAAAGAAAAAGGTCTTCGTCTTAGATAGCATAAAAATTATCTACTATACTTTGCTCTGTTGTTTTCTGCCTGTTCTTTGCTGCGTTGTTTTAATGGGATTGTTTTGCTGCACATTTTAATTATTTAAAATGCTTATTTAACATTTTAATGGAATAATTTTATTGTGTATTTTAATGATTGAAATCTTTGTGTAACTGGCTAGAGCTCCACGTTGCGTTCTTTTCTCCCTGTGCGCTGCTTTAGGGGGGAACCCTCATTGTGCAATTGATGGAGCTGATCGGGTGCACCCTGGCCAATGTTTACTATTGTTTGTCAACTGCTTAGAAGCCAATTTAGCATTCAACAATCAATACTGAAATAAAACTACAACAACTGATAAATAATACTAGCGACATACAATCACAGACTTGGAAGAGACCCTGAGGATTATTGTCCAACCCTCTGCAATGCAGGAATCTCAATTAAAGCATCCATGGCACTCCAACCTCTGCTTCAAAGCTTCCCAGGAAGGGGCCCAGCACCTCTTGAGGGAATCCGTTCCACCATTACTCTTACTTAATCTAAGCACAACCACAAGGGCTCCAGACTAGGGCTGGGTGATATATCGGCACATCATCCAAAACCAGCCTGAAGTCCACATCATGGTAACAGTTTCATAACATTCAACGTGGCAATATATCATGAATCACAATGCGAGCTGGCCCTATGTAAAAAGTAACCATGTGGGGAAAACTATGAAGCTGGTCATTGCTTTTCGTGATTCCTGCCGCCCCTGTTGCTCTGCCACCTCAGCGCTTCCCTGCCTCCTGCAAGGGGAAGCAAACCAGAAGAGCAGGTGCTGAAGAAAGCAGCCATCCAGGAACTTTCCTCAGGAACAGAGACACCATGAGCTTCTTGTTTTCAATGCATGTGCCAGGCTGGTAAGTGGCGGAGGGAGATGCTGGTCCGAGGCGGCTCTGGGCTTCTTGCTGGGAGCCTCTTGCTCCCTTCCTTGCTCCTTCTCTAGGCTCTCTGCCTGCAGGCGTCTCCTGATCCCCGACTTTCGCTAGAAGCCTTGCCAGAGCAAGAAGCCCTTTCCTCCTTGCCTCCCCCAAGCCCTTTCCTGGTTGCTGCCCAGCCCTGTCCTTTGAATGGCTGCTGCCCTCAGTCGGAGCTCTCTTGGAAGCAGCAGCTAGTCCAATGGAAAAAGAAACTGGGGTTATTACTTCTCAGGCTATTAAAGGTAAAGGGACCCCTGACCATTAGGTCCAGTTGTGACCGACTCTGAGGTTGCGGCGCTCATCTTGCTTTATTGGCCGAGGGAGCAGGCGTACAGCTTCCGGGTCATGTGGCCAGCATGACTAAGCCGCTTCTGGCGAACCAGAGCAGTGCACGGAAACACCGTTTACCTTCCTGCTGGAGTGGTACCTATTTATCTACTTGTACTTTGACGTGCTTTCGAACTGCTAGGTTGGCAGGAGCAGGGACCGAGCAACAGGAACTCACCCCGTCGTGGGGATTCGAACCGCCAACCTTCTGATAGGCAACTCCTAGGCTCTGTGGTTTAACCCACAGCGCCACCCACATCCCTCCTCGCAGGCTATTACTTATGTTAATAAAATAAAATAAACTTTGTCCTGTTGTTCAAGCCTCTTTCCTCCCCTCTCCCCTTCTGTGTGTCTCTCAGTTGCCAGAGAACACCAAAATGCACATTTTCCTGGCAAAATATAAGCATCTTATTTAATACATTTTTGTTTGGTGAAATTTTGTCCATTCTTTCTAGTTTGTACTGGTTTATAAAAGAAAATTAGCAAACAATCAAATAACTGGTGTTGTGGGATGTATATACAAATTCAATTAAGACTCAATAGTGAATAATATTTTAACATCTAAAAGTGTGACAGATAATTTGTTTTTTTCTTGTTTAGTAATGTCATTAATTTTGGGGGGAACATTCTCTTACCTTACCTTTGATATCTATGCTACTTATTACTTCTACAGCGTTAGAGAAAATGTGCTAATTTTAAAATTATATGTCCTATTAAATAACTGCTGCAATATGCTAAAGGTAATTAAAAATGTATCCGTTTTAGACCCCTAAGTAGTAGCAGTTGCTAGTTTTCATTTGCTTCTCCACAGTTCCCGGCTTATTTCAGACACTGTGATATATCCGTATGATATATTACAATGTTGAAAACTAGACATCACCCAGCCCTAGAACATTATCTGTTAACTCTGTTCTATCCTATCTCCCATTTGATAGAATCAGAGTTGCAAGGGACCCTGATGGTCATTTAGTCCAACTCCGTGCAATGGAGGAATCTCACCTAAAGCCTCCACAACATGCCGTTTTGTTTCTGTTTAAACCAATTCACGAATCAAGAACTCATATATTGACCACTAGTAATAAACCACATGCTGAAGATATTCTTGCACATTTATTGTGCTATTTTTGTTATATACAAATAACATGAAGACTCAGGAGACTCAAAGACTTCTTTGTATCCTCGGTTATTCCTATGATCCTTGTTCTAGGGTTTATGGGGTATTAGGGGAGGGGCAGAACCTCTGGCAGGGGACCCGTCATGCTCCTTCTGGGGTACCTGGCCTACCTTTGGTCCCTACCCTGCACCCAACTCTCGCCCACGCCTTCTAGGAGCTGCCAGCATGCGACAGGGGCCACAATCCCGGGAATGGCTTCACCTGGCCAGCTAAGGCAGGTGAGGGAAACCAGTGGGTCTTGAACCCTCCGTGAGTTTGGGACTTCCCGAGCGGACGAAGAGAGGCTCCAGCAGATTCAGCAGACAAGACCAACAGCGGGTCCGACGGCCCAGAAGGTGGTTTCTGCAAGTGCTGTGGAGGAAAGGGAGCCCGTCCCGGAGGAGAACTCTCCTTCTACACCTCCACTGCCTTGCAGGATCTTGTCAGAAGAAAAGGCTCCGGAGGAAACAGGGCTGCCAAGGCAGTGGCTGGACTTCTCGGCGGTGGCGCCCGCCCTGTGGAACGCCTGTGATAGGAATTTTGAGGTCTTAGATATATGGTAATGTTCATAAGTGTACCAACCAAGCACCTACATAGATCAGCGCAGGAAGACCGACCTGGAACCATTTTGATTCCCAAACTGACCAAATGTTTTCCCTGCAAGTCAGGGAGCCTTCCCATTGTCTCAGGAATTGAGTAATCAGCATTTTCATGGGTGACAGACTATCAGGAAAGGCAATCAGATAACCCGGCAAACAGGAAAAACAACATTCCAATTTCTGTTTTAGACCACCTTTTCTGTGATGTAGGTATGATGTTTCTGGGGGTGGTCTTGATCTACAGGGGGGCTTGCGCGCCATTGCTCTGGGTTCCTCCTCCTTTCCTGCGTGTGGCAGCGAGGACCCAGTTGCAGCAGATCCATCAAGATCAGGCCTACTAGCCGCTTTGCGCCTCAATCTTCTCCGCTTGGCCTCTGTTCTTTCCTCCCACCAACAGGGAACCCACTTAAGCCTCCTGGGTCCCCCAGAAGGGAAGAAGGGCCATTTTGGCTGACCACCCGCCCTCCCGCCAGAGGCCGAGGAAAGAAGCAGCTCTCTGGCTTTCGGAAGACACCTGCGGGAAGCTCTTCCTCGCCCGGCGTCTCCCTGCGGCCAGGCCTCCCCCGGCGCCCCGGCCCCGCCGCCTCCTTCCCGGGGCCAAGAGAGAGACTCACCGGAGGGTCGCCGGCCAGGCCGGAAGAGACGCGGAGGGGGGCTTCCGGCTCCGCCTGCCTTTCCCGTCCTCTCTAGGAATCCCGCCCCGTTGACTGTAACCCTTGCCAAGCCGGGCGGCCGAGAAGCGCCGAAGAAAGTCCGACGCGGAGGGAAGTCGAAGGGGAGCCAGTCGAAGGATCAAGAAGCGATCTTGGCTTTCCTTTCTTATGATCTAGAAACACAGGCACAGCAACAAGGAACGGAGACTTGACGCTGGTTTTTATGTTAAGAAAGTTATTTCTGTGGTTAAAAACCAATAAAGATGAATTGAAAAATGAAAGAAATGCAAAATAAAAACACAGCAGACTTAACAAGACCCACACACAAAATGAGGGGTCACCCCGATCAAACGTTCATTAGGAAATGGGATATGTATTAAAAAATATTGAAAGGATTATTGTCATAATGTGATGTCTGCGGCAGCCTTTGAATGACTTTCGCAGGATGATGGATAATTAGGAAATTTCATAATTTTGATGAAATTTAACCAAATAAAACAGAAATATACAGTGCACTAGATAGATCAAGTGGTGGATTCATGGTGGGGTGACGGGAAGTCAATAGAAATTTAAGAAGAACATATCGTGATGTAATGTAATAAGTTTTATTTTCTCTCTCTTTTTTGCCTTTTTGGACAATTCTTCTGTATGCTTTTTGTGTTAATTTCAATAAAGCACTATTAAAAAAAATAACAAAAAGAAAACAAGAACCAATCTCTGGGTTCCGAGCTGTTCCCTCCCTTGGCCCGAAAGAGGAGCGGCATCTCGCCGAGGAAAAGGCTCGGTCCGAAGCGGGAAACCGCCGGGGAAGAAGGAAGGGCTGGACGGAGTCTCCGGGGAGGCGCGCCCGACACTCCCGCTTGGGCTGCTCGGCTCAGCCAGGGCTTGCACTCCTCTTCCCTGCGTGCCAAGACGGGCTCGGGGCTGGAGCAGGCGGAGCCGGGCAAGAAACAGGGGCGACCAAGCCTGTCCCTCAGAAAAGGCACCTGGGGCCACAGCCCCCCAGCCCCACACTCTCCATCTCGGCCAACAATCAAGAAGGCGGCTTCTGCCTTTGCTGTCGAGCTGGTCAGCCTGGAAAGGAGAACTCTCAGCCTAAACCTCTGCTGCTTTGCAGCTGTACTCATTTGTTAGAGGGGGGGTTGTTGTTGTTTTACAGAGAATACCATTATAGATGTGGGTAAACCCAAGATATTAATAAATGGTAGGATTTTGATTATTTGTGGTATGAAGGGAGAATGCAGGCTGCAAAGGAATTCCTGGGCTGGGTATGCAAACCAGCCTGGCTGGCTGTGGGAAGAGCAAACCTGTTTGTTGTTGTTGTTTAGAGGGCAAACCAGTTAGCATGCCAAAATGTGTGAATGAGCCGTCAGAAAAGGATCCTTTGGCCTGGGGAGTCTGATGTCACAAAGGGGTAACTGTGTGTTTGAGGGGACAGGAAAAGTGAGCTTTGAAGCAGGGATTCCTTGGAAGGAGGAGGAGGAGGAGGAAGAGGGGCTGAGATCCATCTTGGCAGGGGAGATGAAAGGTTGCCTGCTGCCATGCTGTGGGCCATGCTGTAAGTTCTGGACTCCCTCCATGCAGAATGAAGGTGTAAATAGGTGAATAAACCATATTTCTTCAAGCACAACAGTCTCCACCGTATCTTCTATTCTCCAAAGGGGCACAGATCCTGTGTGGGTGCCTGAGACGCCCATGGGTTCTTGCCACCACTTGGCAGGGAGACGGGCAGGCACTGGACTTTTGGAACAATACAATAAAAGTCAAACTAATCTGAAGAAAAGAAATGAAAAGAACTAAAATGATAAGAGGAAAAAAATCAAGAGATAGAAAGGCAAGAAAGGGAATACAAAAGCCATCTGTCACAATTACATCCTGTCTTTATCCATACACAGAATGGTGGACCCTCCCTGCTTTCACCTGGAAGCTTCTGTTTCTTCTCCCGCCCCCAAGATCCTTTCTATCCCTCCCTCCCACTTGGGCCCCCCAAGAAGAAGAAGAAAGAGGGGCTTCTAATTCTCTATCTGCCAATTATATATATTATAATCATTCAAATTATTTGAAGCATACACTACAGGAAAACACCTAGCTATATCACATTAAAGAGTTGCTAAGCAGTCTGCCAAACACAATTCTTCTCAGACACCACAGATTCATCTTTTTCTGTCAAAAAGTCCAAAAGTAGTTCTTAATTTTTTATTCTCATTAGAAGTCCAGAACTGTCCATTTCTCATCAAGTTCAATTCTTTCCCAGGATTCTATCAGATCTTAATATTATAGCCCTTATTTCTGCACTTTTCCCAATTCTTCCTCACATCAGTTATTAGTGACCCTGAAGTTTCTTGCTATGCATTCATCTCTCTCCCTTTGAAGCCCACCATTTATGATCGTGCCCCATCTTCTCCACCCATAAGGCACTTATTTCTTTCATCAACAAAACAGCTTTCTTTGTCTGTCTCGGTTTTCCTCTCCTCCACCACTATCTCCTGCAGCTCCTCTTGCACACCAACAAGTCCTGTACATTCTTTATGTTCTCCTGTTTGCCTCAGGTCTCCATGGCAGAAGGTCATCCAGCCTCTGTTTAAAAGGAACATAAAGTGCTTCCTGTTCTTCTCTCTCTTCCTTTGACCATGTCTGAAAATGGAAAAGGTGAAATAGGAGCCGAAGTGGAGATTTGGCGGAGGGGAGAGGGAAAGAGATGCCCTTGCTACAAAGTCATTGTTAAAACATTTCACATGGCAAAGGTGGATGGGAATCAAGGGGTTTGGGAAGAGCTGGGCAGTTCAGCTTCCCAGCCTACTCCTGGGCCCATTTACTCAGAAGTAAGCCCCTCACCTGCCCAGTCTTCAAGTTCCAGTAAGATCACCTCTGCTCTCCCACTGCCCTCGGCCCACCAGCAACCCAGGGGGGCCAAGCAGCAATGTGATCTTTGCTTCCCCCAGGCCAGCACCCTTGGCGGGGGCCAAATTAACAAAGCCTTAAGGACACCCCTGGGCAGGGAGCAGGTCGTCCGGGACTTGCAAGAAGATGGTCTCCCATCTTGAAGAATTATGCAGCTTTGTAGAAGTGTTCCAAATTATGCCTGTGTGGACAAAGTGGTCAGGGCTGGGGGGGGGGGGGGCTTTGGCCTAGAACAGCAGGGTTCCTCTATTCCTCCTTGGACACCTTCTGTTTTCAACACTGTGGTGATTCCACCTCCATTGTGACGCAGTTGCTCTTCTCTTGAGCACATGATTCTGATGGTCTTCTGTTCTTTGGACACCTTCCATTTTCAACAATGTGGGGATTCTACCTCCATTGTGATACCAGAGTTCTTCTCTTTGGTGTCTTTTTTGCCTTTAAGCTTTTCAGGAGGGTTCATCATCCAACAGGCCAAAGTCTCGCATGACTGACACTCTGATGGGGCAAAAATGTCCAAGACATTTCTACAAAGTGGCCCAGAATTGAGCTTGCCATTCATGGCGATTGCTCTGCTCTTTGCTCAGGATTGCTGATGGTGATGGTTCCTCAGGGCTAGCAGGGCCCATATTAACAGAAACCTCCGTTCTCCGTACGTGTCCCCACTGCCAGCACCACCAGCACCCATTGCTTGGAGGAAAGGTGAGGAAAGACCCACTCCTTCAGCCCCTGCCACCCTCTCAGCCTCAGAGTCTCTCCCAGCTGCTTGGTGGCTGCCCACCCCTGTCCCAGCTTCAGAAATGGTACAAACAGAAACGCATTGAAGCAGAGCTCCTTTGCACCTCAGCACAGGGCAGGATAGGTATATTCTTACTTATCTTCAGACCACAATCTCATTGTTAGTCCTTGCAGTGTTAAGACAAGACATAGTGGCCAGGCACTAAAGATGCGAGGGATATGGGTGACTCTGTCAAATTGCTACCTGTATTTCTCAGTCCACGGGGGGGGGGGGGGACCTGCTGCCTCAGAACAAGCCTAAAGTCTGCTTGGATTTGTGTGACAAGTGCCATCATTGTTTGGCACCTGTTTGGTGACTTGTCCAAAGCTTTGGACCAGGTCAGGTTCATCCAGCCCAGAATAGCCTGTTTTTGAGCCTAACACCAGCTCTCCCAAACCTCAGGCAGAGAAGGGTCTTTCTCACCAACTGCTAGGTGAGATGTCAGGGATGGAACCTGGGTTCCATCTTTCTTTCTTTCTTTCTTTCTTTCTTTCTTTCTTTCTTTCTTTCTCTTTCCACATGCAAAGCAGGCAGTCTACCACTGAGCTATGGTGTGTCTCCAAAAAGGTTGCTCAAAAAGTCATTGTTGATATGAAATTACATGAAGGAGTTAACTGCGACAGCTGTGAAACAGGTGACTAGAACTAAAGTCCAGCTTCTGAGTCACTGTCTTGAGTCTTGTGAGTCTCGTGAACAGTCTCCTTAAAAGGGAACTGCGTGTGCAAGCTAGCAGAGGTGTACAGTTGGGTCTGAGAGGAGAATGCGGAGTTTGTCGGAGGTTGAGGAGATGGTGTGAATGTCAAGCATTTTGTCAAGGACCTGCAGCAGGGGGATTACAGCTGGAGAACTTTCTGCTAGGAAGCATCCTCTGCTACCAGGAGAACAAAGGGACAGAAAAGCAACCTTGGACTCCTGTAACAACTGCACCATTTTCTTGTACTTAAAAGACTGTACCCTCTTTTGTGTCAGAGAGAGAGAGAGAGACTTTGTATTGAATCCTTACATTAGACTGGTTACCTGTTTGCTCATCTAAATGCTACCTCTGAATTAAGAACTCATCTTCCTCAGCCTCTGTGAGAAGTGGTTACTTCAGCACAACCAACAAAGGTTATGGGCCCGGTGTGGCCAGCAGGTGGCGCTAGAGAGCAACAAGCGAATTCTTGAAGTCAATCCCACACTTTGGAAACCAGCAATCTGAACTCATCACAGTCAAGGAAGATTTTGCAGATAACTCAGGGGGCAAACGGGGGTCTGTGAATCCTATGTGGCTAAGTGGTTGTGGAAGCTGCAGGAAGTTTAACTGCAGGAAGGGAGCAAGCAAGTTTCACAATGTCTGTGTCTCTGAGCATGGAGAAACTAACAGAAAAGAATTATGCCAGTTGGTGTGTCAAGATGGAGATGCTGCTCTGGAGAGAAGGTTTATGGGACCCTGTATTAATGACCACCTTCAGACCCTTCTTCTCCTGAGAAGGGAGTGGGTGGCGCTGCGGTCTAAACCACTGAGCCTCTTGGGCTTGCTGATCAGAAGGTCGGCGGTTCAAATTCACTTAACGGGGTGAGCTCCCATTGCTCTGTCCTAGCTTCTGCCAACCTAGCAGTTCAAAAGCACACCCCAAAAAAGTGCAAGTAGATAAATAGGTACCACTCCAGCAGGAAAGTAAACAGTGTTTCCATGCGCTCAGGTTTCTGTCACGGTGTCCTGTTGCACCAGAAGCAGTTTAGTCCTGCTGGACACATGACCTGGAAAGCTGTCTGTGGACAAACGCCGGCTTCCTCAGCTTGAAAGCGAGATGCGTGCCGCAACCCCATAATCGCCTTTGACTGGACTTAACCGTCTAGGGGTCCTTTACCATTTTACCTTTACCTTCTCCTGAATGGCTTCACAGAGAGGAGAGAGCAAGAGTCACAATAATTATTGATCTGGAAGACAGCCAATTACTGACTGTTAGAGGGCTGTTAACCACAAAAGAAGTTTGGACTACTTTAAAGAATTTGCAGGTGAGAAAAACAGCAGGCAGCAACTATATGAATGGGAAAGAAGACAGGAGCAAGGAAAGATGGCAGAGAGCTGTTTCAACAAGCCAAGATAAAGAAGTGAATGTAGAAGAAAGAAAGAGTGACAACATGTTGAAAGTTTATGGAATTTGTAGGTGCTACAACTGTGGATCAGAAAATCACCTTAAAAGAAATTGCCTCAGGAAACATTTGGATTACAAATCTACAGATAGAGAAAGAAATTTACAGAGGAAAAAATGGTGTTTCTCTGCCGACAAGGTAAATGTAGACTCTGTAACTGCTGAGGGAGTGTAGATCAACAACAGCTCCAATTAACACAAAATGTGAAAGAAATCCTAAGCGAGTTCTAGAACTTCTGCATATAGATTAAGCAGATCCATTCCAGGAAACTCTGTGAGGAGTTAAATTTAATCTTACAATTGTTGACAATTTCTTGCATTTTGGGTTCATTTATTTGTTAAAGGAGAAGCTAAATAGAGGTTTGAGAATTTTGTAAACTGGGTGGAAGCAAAATATGATGCAAAGATAACTGGAGTGCAATCAAAAAGAGGAGGTGAATTTACCTCTAATAACTTTGAAAGATTTCTGTCTGAAAAGGGAGTCCAGCATAAAAGGGAGTCTTCAGGTGTTTGTGTGCTGAAAGGCAACATCTGGGAAATTGTCTTAGGTGGATTAGCAGTTTCTTATACTCACAAAAGCCAAGAACCAAGATCCTCACAATGACCACTGGTGAAAGTGTCTTTTGATATAATTAAGGATGTCGCAGCCTGAGAAACAACAGGGAAATCCCTTAGCTTCTCAGTCCAAAAAACTCAATAGACGGCATTTACCTTTTGCCCCATCCCTTCTTCATTGTATTTTAATAAATTTAAAATTAACATAATGCACAGTGAAAACCCAATTAATTGAAGAAGCTTCAGCACAAAGCACTAATCAGGTTCTGAGCTAGCTTCTGAGATGCCCAAACAAAATCTCTCAGATCATGCATTCTGGCATAGCTGCATTTTTCAAGTGCTCAAGAAAGAGATATGCTGACTACATCCTTATGGACTGGGCGCTATGGGGGGCCACTAGGGGGCGCATTGGAAGATGGCCGACAATATGGTCTCTTCCAACTCTATGATTCTATGATTCTATGAATACCATCTCTCCGACCCACACGGGGTAATTAAGAGGCTGTTATGGGAGTAAGCAGCCTCCCTTGTTGCCCCAAGGAAATGGGGAACACTGCCCTTGCCTGCTGTGCCCATAAATCACCCCCTAATTCGAAAGACGGGGGTGAGGGCCCTAGGCAGAATGCCCCGTGTGGACCTCGGCTCTGCTGGACGCTGTCTCTGATCGCGCACTAGTTGCAGCAATTTGGGATAATTAATTACAAAGAAGCAAATGCACATATTTCAAGTGAAGAAGGGGAGTGAAGTCTGCTAATTTAAGTGACCTCTGCGAAAGAAGACGACGGGTTGGAGAAACAGGAATATTTTACGATGAAGATACACCAAAGGCTGGATATGTTGACAACGGGGCTGAATGGGGGGGGGGGGACTTTTTTTACTTTCCTTCTATGTGATTTACAAGAACCCCTCCTCATTAGAACCGTCGGCTGAACTGACCCAAGCAGGATGATTAAGGTCTGTGTGGAGATAAACTTTAACCAAAAGTATGCTTTATGGAGACCGAGAAGCAATAAGAGCTTTTGGGAAAAGGCGCAGCAATTAATTCGGAGTCGCCATCTTGCCAAAGGATTTACAGCCGGGAGGAAGAACGGACTTGTTTTCAGACTGCATTCCTAGTGAATCTCCTCAGAGGTTTTGAGAAAGGAGGCAGATTGGTGAAGATTAATGACGCTAAGAGTGATGTTATATGGAAAACGTCTGGATATGGCTACTGGATAAAAAAAATAATATCCACGCAGGATTACAAACTGTTCTAACCAGCTTGCGGAGACTATCAGAGGTCACAAAGAGAAAGGAAAAATATATGAAAATAACAACAAGAGATGTGGAAAAATAATAAGAAAGGACTGGATAGTACTGTGAACATCATAAGGTTAGATTTGTGGACATTAAAACAGCAGTAAGAAGCAAGAAGTTGATTGGATCCCTTCGGAACTTGAAATATGGGTACCCCCAACAAAAATTTAAAATTCGGCTGTGTAATTTGGAATTTATGTAATTTGGTTTGATTTGATGTGATTGGTCGGTTAATAAAAAATTATTCTTAAAAAAAATGGACTGGGCGCTATGGAGGAGCTCCCCCTCCAGCCCCGTATCTGGCAAACAGCCCCTTGCTCAGGGAGCGCTCCGGGGGGGGGCACCCCGTTCCCTCTCTCTCCAACTCTTTTTATACATGCCTCAAATGCTTCTGTCCATTCTCATGTGATGTCAGGAGGGAGCCAGCAAGCAGTAAATCACACGGAGCAGGTGAAGTTAACTCTTGATTAGAAAAAAAAGGATCTGCACAAGAGGACCAAGCCTAAAGAGCACAGCAAGTCTTACTTGGTAGCTCTGATCCTTATGAGGCAGTTGTGGAGCCTGAAAGTCCCCACCTTCCCACAGCTAAGGGCCTTCCTCTGCCAAGTCCTTCCCAAGCAATCTGAGACGGCACCTGCATTTCTGCCTATACTCCTCTTGCTTCATGCCTCTCCTGATCCTGGGAGACTAGGGAGGAGGAAAGCAGCAGGGTGTGTGTGTGTGTGGAAGACACTTGTGTTTCTTCACCAGCCTGACTCATCTCTGCCTCTTGGCCTGCCTCAGCCCACTCTCCTGCTTACGCTTCTGATTCTGATTCCAGACTTCCCTCTGCCACAGACCCCTCCCCCCCCCGCTCACTAAACCCCGGCACCTCTTCTGCTTCTGCCACCTCCTCCCAGTCTGCTCCCTCTTCACCCTCTGACCGCTCATTGTCATCTCACCACCAAGCCGCTGACTCTGAGCCTTCTTCCCTTGGTGGTTCCCCAACTGGTTCCTCCCACTATTCCTTTGTGTCCAACCAGTCCATGACACATGGGTAATGGTGCTGGTTCAGTGCAGATCCAAAATATCATCAACAGTTCAAATGATGGCTCATAAAAGTTCCGTTTATATTGAAACTGACTGTTTGTATGTTGCTGCTTTTAGAAAATTGACTGAGGACTTCAGTACCTCAGAACGTGGTACCAAAACATTTAAAATAAAATCCCACTGCATTTCTCTTTTGTCAGTGCCTCAGAGGGCAGCCCCTGCCACAGCATGGCGACAAAGAAGACCAAGTCCAAAGCTCGGAAGAGCATCGCCAAGAGCCAGAGCACGACTGGGCCGCTCTTGACGGAGCAAGAGCAGTCCCTGAAGAAGGAGTCCCTCATCCTGGCGGAGCACATCCACACCTACACGCAGTGGGTGGACCAGTTCCAGAGCAGGAACGAGTTCCTGGACAAGGAAGCGCAGGAGATCCGGCAGAACAGCAAGGCCTACCTGAACTACCTGAACAGGCGCGCTGCCCGGTGCCAGGACGCCATCACCACCCTCAACGAGCAGAACCTCTTTGACCTCACCAGTGTCCTGAAGCAGAAGGAGGAGCTGACCTCCCAGTACACGGACAAGGAGACAGAGATGAGGAGCCAGCTGATTGAGATGGAGACCAAGTTCTCCCTCATGACCAAGGAGGTTGAGGAGCTCAAGCCCTTCAAGGAGCTGCAGTCCGAGCAGCTCATCCGCATCCGGGAGCTGGAGAAGGAGCTGCTGGCCATGAAGATCCAGCACTCGGAGGAAATGCGCTTGCTCAAGAGCAAGTACCTGCACCAGAAGGCGGAGTACGAGGTGCAGGCAGAGCAGAAGGTCCAGGCCCTGGCCAAGAAGGCCGAGAAGGAAGCCGTGCGCAGCCTCATCCACCACACCAACCGAGTGAAGGAGGAGAACAGGCGGCTGCGCAACGAGCTCCTCGGCCTCATCCAGCGAGCTAAAGGCCTAAAAGCCTTCCGGCAGCAGCTGAGAGAGCAGAAGGAGCAGCTCCTGCGGGAGCTCCAGTATGGGCGGGGCCTGGCGCACATGCGCCACTGGCTCCAGCAACAGGGGGCTCAGAAGACTGGCCCCACTCCCAGTAGCCAGCCTCCCAAGAGTGCACAAAAATCCTCTCGGGGCGCAAGCGCTCAAGGGTCTGCAAAGAGGGATGCTCAGGCAGCAGCTGGTGAAAGTTTGCCACCACTCTGGAGCCCCAAGAGCAGCAGCAAGCAGCAAGCGATGCCCACAAGCAGCCAGCAGTCTTAAGAGAGCGAGCGGTTTCCAGGCATGTGAGCAGAGGTGAGAAGGCCTGAGAGTAGACTTCTAAATGCGGAGGCAGAAATCCTGACTCAGAGACAGCAACAAGCTGTTTGGGGATTGGAGACTGCAGCAGCTCATGCGCTCTGCTCTTCGCTTCGTATCAGAGGCGGCAGGAAACATGGACCAACCCCCCCCCCCAATTAAAAGGATGTGTGTGGATGCGCATCAGTGCTGGACAGCTTCCTGTCCTCTTAAGGGGTCTCTAGTCAAGCGGAAGGAAGAGGCTGCTGCACCTCTGCTTACTTCCAGGCAAGCCCATCGGCCTCACAGTCAGCAGCAACACCTGCACCCTCTCATAGGCTTTCGTGGCAGCCTGCTGCCACCCACCAGCCCTCGGGCAATAGCCCTTGCCCACTTCAGGAGGCAGAAACTGCAAAACATTGGGCAACACAGGCTGCTGCCTTCTCTGGGCAATGGCCAGGGAGTCTTTGTGGTTAAGTGCATTAGTAGCACAAACTTACATTAGTGGAAGGGGTGGGGAACCTGTGACACTGCAGGTATTGTTAGTCCCTTCACCCCTGAGCATTGGCTCACGCTAGCAAGTTTCTTTATACAGCAGAGTGCATTCTCCTTCTTACGCAGCAGAAAGCTGGTTGCAGACTCATGTGAGCCTCTTAAGACAATAAACAATTCAATCTGGCTTGCCCAGATTAAGATATGTTCTATTACTCCTGGTAAGAGCCCTTTGATCCCTCCTAAAAGAATAAAGACACAACAGTCTTATTCATAAGTAACATAAAGTAGTTTTATGCATGATCAGGCAGAGCAGAGTGTGATCCCTGAAGGCAGGCTTTAGGCTTAAAGTTAAAAACATGTAGAGTTTTACCCCATATGGGAGATGACCTGGGAGACTTCTGGCTGGAAGCAGTCCAGTCCAGGTGAATCAGGAAGTTCGCAGGACGAAAGGAAGATGGAAAAGAGAGTGAGTGGCAGCATGCCTTGGCCTTTTCCCAGGTCTGGGAAGGTCACGCCCACCCACTAGTCACATGCAAGGAAGGATGCTCCAGGCAAGAAGGAACAGGAAGTTTTGACTAGCTGGACCAAACATCCCCTTGCATGTCCACTCTAGCAAAACAAGGAATGTTGTACTTGACTGCTCCCAGTGTTTACATCCCACAGGCTGGTGGATCTGACACCACCTGGAGCCACAGCTCCGCTTCCCCTGGTTTGTGGGCTCCAAAGACGGTTCACTGGGAAGCAGCAGCCAAAGGGACTCCAGAAGGAAGTTGTCACCCAGAACACACACCAGTGGGCACCACTCACACCAGGCATGAAGGGCCAGGATCCGTGCCATTGTTCTCCTTGGCGCCAGACAATTTGGCCAATTCATCCAGCGAAATCAGTTTCAGAGAAGCTGGTGGTTAAACAAGGCAGGATGAGCATTCTGGGAAGGCCGTTTGTGCAGCTGTCCATTCACATTTAAATCCTTCCTCCCCCTGCTGCTGTCCTGAAGAAAAGTTCCCTCCTGAGGCTACTGTTGGGCCCAGCAGAGCTCTTGGCCCATCCCACACCCGGTTCCCAGTCTGAAAGGCCTTCCCCTCAGCTGCTTGTTTTCTTTCTGAAGCAAAGACACCTTAGCTGCAAGTATGCGATTATCTTCCTACATAGATTGCCCCAAACAAGGAGCTACAAGTCGAGTGGTGAGATTCTGGCACTGCATCTCTACTGCATTGGGAGCCAGGATCCCCACATTCCACATCCCACCCCGAAGCCACTATAATAATAATAATAATTTATTATTTATACACCGCCCATCTGGCTGGACTTCCCCAGCCACTCTGGGCAGCTTCTAACCAAATATTAAAATACCGTAATACATCAAACATTAAAAGCTTCCCTAAACAGGGCTGCCTTCAGATGTCTTCTAAAAGTTTGGTAGTTATTGTTCTCTTTTTCATCTGGTGGGAGGGCATTTCACTGGGCGGGCACCACTACCGAGAAGGCCTTCTGCCTGGTTCCCTGTAACTTGGCTTCTCACAGTGAGGGAACCGCCAGAATGCCCTCGGCGCTGGACCTCAGCGTCCGGGCAGAACGGTGGGGTGGAGGCGCTCCTTCAGGTATACTAGGCCGAGGCCATTTAGGGCTTTAAAGGTCAGCACCAACACTTTGAATTGTGCTTGGAAACGTACTAGAAGCCAATGTAGATCTTTCAAGACTGGTGTTATGTGGTCTCGGCGGCTGCTCCCAGTCACCAGTCTGGCTGCAGCATTCTGGATTAGTTGTAGTTTCCGTGTCACCTTCAAAGGTAGCCCCACGTAGAGTGCATTGCAGTAGTCCAAGTGAGAGATAACCAGAGCATGCACTACTTTGGCAAGGCAGTCTGCAGGCAGGGAGGGTCTCAGCCTGCGTCCCAGATGGAGTTGGTAAACAGCTGACCTGGACACAGAATTGACCTGTGCCTCCATGGACAGCTGTGAGTCCAAAATGACTCCTAGGCTGCGCACCTGGTCCTTCAGGGGCACAGTTACCCCATTCAGGACCAGGGAGTCCTCCACACCCGCCCGCCTCCTGTCCCCCCAAAACAGTGCTTCTGTCGTCAGGATTCAACCTCAAAGCCACCATAGCACAAAGCACAAAGGCCCAATCTCAGGTGGCAGCGTTTGTTTCTGGGCTGATTTAGGTAGCACTGGCCTGCTCCAGGCTCCTGCTCTCAAAGAAGCATGACCAAGTAAGAAAGTATTTCTCAGATGGGGTCGGTGACAGGGACATCGTGCTCATGTGGGGAGGGGCATATGATGACCTACTGGCTAGAGCCCGCTCCGAAGCACAACTAGGAAGAAAACAATACTCAGGACACACAAATAGTTTGCTTTATTCATAAGTCAATGTGTTACCAAACTGATTTAATCGCCTGGGCAAATGAGACCAGACACGCAAAGATTGTAAAAAACATTTGGAGTGGGGGAAGAAGGGAAGAAGAGACCCGGCAGTTCCTGGGGAGGTGGCCCCAGCACCACCTGGTTGCTTCTTGGGAAGGAAAGCATCCCAGACGTACAGCAAAGGGCTCTGGAGCTGCTGCCCAAGCCTTTGCTAGTGTGGGAGAGTCGCTTGTGGGGTGAGAGAAACTTGGGCAGCAAAATCTGCACTGAGCTTCTTCATGACGTCTCCGTGGCTCAGCCCCTTCTGCGAGTGCTTAGCAGAGCTGTAGTTTTCTTTCACAAACTTTGCAAACGGCGTGAGCGGTGCTTTCGCTGGTGTGCCATCCTTGCGCGTGGGCTGGCACAGCACAAACTGCCCCTTGCAAAGGGCACAGACATAGCGCTGGGTGTCCAGAGACTTGGAGTGGCGCCCAATCCTGGAAAGCAAAAACACAGGAGGCGGCCTGAGGGAGGAGCAGACGGGCGGACGCAGGAGGCGGCCGTAAGCAACACCCACTAACTGGCAGCCGGATTCAGCAAGAGGCCACATGGCCAGCACTCCCGATGCCCAACTGGAAGCCCACCCATACACATGAAAAGATCCTGCAGATCAGAGCCCAAAGCAGGCACACAATAAGCCAATCTGGACACATTCAGTGGTTGGTCAACAGAAGCCCTTCTTGAAAAAGCAACGCCAACTATTCCCCTGGAACTATGAGTTGTTTCTCTGGGTAGGGAGGCCCCAAAGAGGGAGCCAATTTCAAGCTGGTCCCTGGACCAGTTGCCACCCAGCTGTGCCCAAGACAGCAGGCCTCAGCAGGCTGCTTTCAACCTTGAGGCCAAGAATCTCCCCGATGATTCCCAGGAAGACAAATTCCGCAGCCACCATGACATGTGCTTATCTACTGTCCTCCTGCATGATCCCCAAATGATGTTACTCCTCCTGCAGAGTATTAGGGAGACCGTCATCCAGGCCAAGCTCTGGCCTTGGGTTTATATGAGCAATGGAGAAGGCAGTGAGAAGAGAGGCAGAGGACTTTTGGGGTTCTGGCACCCCTTTTATTTTGCTACAATGACTCCCACCCTGGGAGGTCTATGATTCTATGAGGTGCCCATGCCCTCCTCACTGGGCACTTTAGCCTGGCACTTAAGGCAGAGTCTTTAAGTTAGGCATCTGGTGAGGATGGGCTTTGGTTCACCTTGTACTGAATGTCAGATGAGCCTGCGGAATCTGGCCAAAGGGGCGCATCCTGTTCTCCTCAGTTCCAGAAGCAGGACCTGAGCACAGCAGCAGCAGCAAATCTCCCCACTTGTGATTCCCAACAGAGTATTTACTGCCTCCGACAGGGGAGGGAGAACAGAGCTTTTAGTCTCCATGTATTCGACTTGTCCTCCTTTGAAGCCACCCAAGGTAGCGGCTGCCATTACTTCTTGTGGGAATGAATTCCACAAACTATGTGCCATGTGAAGAAATACTTTCTTTTGCCTGTCCTGAATCTTCCCATGTCCTTGGATGTCCACGGGTTCTAGAGTTATGAGAGGGAGAAGAGCTTTCCCCTCTCCACTTTCTGCCGGGGGGGCTTCCCTGGGGGGCATCTGGGATGAGGAGGGTGGACTAGAAGGGCCCCTTGGCTCTCCTTCAGCTCTTGAGCCCTCGTTCCCCTTGATCCTCACCACGGAGACCAAGCTGATGTAGAACTCAAGGGCTGAGGAGGCAGAGCTCAAGAGTGAAGACGGCTCTTCCTGGGGGCCAGGAGGCAGCCCCACACTCCCACTTCCCTCACAAGGCACTGGCTGCAAAATCCGATATACCTGGATATCTTCCAAACTTCATTCCAAAAGCTGAAGTGAGGGGCAGGATGGGTGGGGTCTGACCACCTTCTGTGGGGTTAGCCCACAAAACCATGAGGGCTTACAGGATCAGGGCCCTGGAAAGCGGGAGATTCTTAGAGTCACTAGCAGATGCAGAGACTCTTAGAACAGGACAAGGGTCTCACTCAGGACTAGCTGCAATAGCTGAGCCGGGATCAGGGTTAAAATCACCCAACGCACACCGGGGCTCAAATGCCTCACCAGGAACAGGCCCCGATCCTCACTCACGTGTTTTTGCACCGGCAGCACTCGTAGGTGAACTTGTACTTGATCTCATAGTTGTGGCATCGCGACACCACTGGGAGCTCTGGGTGGACCACAGCCGACTTCTTTGCATATAAGCGCCAAAACCGGCCATGGCCGTCTCGGACCCCGTGGATCAGCCAGGCAGCTGCGTGGCACAGTTCGTGGATCAGAGTGTCCCGAAGTCGATCTGCGCAAGACAGGAGAGTCATGGAGCAAGGAGACCTGATTCCAGTTGATGCGCAGGCGCACATGCACCAGGCTCACCACCAGGGCTGGCTCCACAGTTTCCCCCGCATCAGAATTTTTGCATAACACACAGAGACATGATTTGCGATATATAGTCAGATCAAGAATTATGAAACCAATATCACAAAATGGACTTCAAACCGGTTTTGGATGATATATCAATATATCGCCTAGCCCACTCACCACCTTCCCACACCTTGAGTGACTCTTCTTCCCTTGCACTGCCCTTCCTTGAAGAAGCCTATCCAGGAGACCAGAAAACCAGCAGGGCAAGGGAAGACAGGCTGCATCTGCCTTGCAAATTTGCCTGCTTCCAGCAAGCCACGCTTGGTCCAGGTCTGTTAATACATTGTGACCCCTGGTGTCTTGATTTACAGCATGGCATTAACGCTAAACTAGAGTTTACAAAGAGGAATGCTTGGGATAATGCCCCAAGCCAGTAATCAAGACACGTTCTCTACTATGGTGGGTTGCAGGATGTGGCCTGGTGGCCTGGGATAAGGCCCCACCCTTACTGAAATCAAGCAAATCTGAGCCTGATCAGTGCCTGGATGGGTGACAGCCTGGGAGCCACATAGACACCCCCCCCCCCGGGCTCCAGGGTTGAAGAAAGGTGGGATTTGGATGCAAGGAAATAAAAATAATACCACCAGTCTCCCCTCTACTTCTTCAACCTCAAAACTCCTTTCTGAATCTGTGCGCTGCCATCGAAATGCAGAATTGGCCTTGCAGCAACTCAACAGAGCCTCAGGACCCCAGGAAGACCCCTTCCCCCCACTTGCCTGCAGAGTCACAGACTTTCTCTGACAGCATTATCCGGGCATAGCGCTGCCCCTCAGGGCCCTTCAGCTGGCCACTCACGCAGCACCCGGCGGTTTTCCGCATCTTTTTGTTCCAGACAATCTCCATATTCTCTGGCAACTGAAAGGACAAGGGGGAGAAGCAGCTTAGCTCCTACCCGGTCCTGGAGCTGCACTCCTGACTTCTGAGCTGAGGGCCAGGCTGGCCACAGACAAGGGGAGCCCGGCCGGCTGGCCAGCCTTTCACAACACTGTACCTTTTGCTCAAACACCGAACGGTTGTAGAAATCATAGAGGCTCTGGGCCAGCTCCCCCTTCCTTCTCCGGAAATTCTTAGAGTGCTGGGATTCTGGGTCGGACAGCTCTTGCAAGAAGCAGCCCTGCACCTGGCAGGAACTCCTGAGGAGGCAAAGACCCATGAGAGGGAAGGAAAGGGCAGCCCAGGTTCCGTCCATGAGACTCACCAGGGACTAGTCCAGAGGTTGCCAACCTTTCTGAGTCCATGGCTAGCTTGAGCAACCACATTTTTCTGCAGCTCCTGTGTGGAAGCCACTGACACTGGCGGCCGGATCCAGAACGTGCATCCCAGTCTGCAAGCTGCCAAGAGGAATGGAAGGCAGAGGGCATGACCTCAGGGAGGAGGTGCTGGGCTTGCTGGTTCTTCCAGGCTCGCCACTTCAGGCCAGGGCCGGCTGCTTTGCCAGAGTCCAAAGCTGGGAACAGAGGCATGAGCAGAAGATGAGCTCACCTCATCTGTGTCTGGTGGGACGGGGTGATGTCACCGAGCACCTTGCTCTTCGGAGCTTGCACAGAGATCGGCGTGGCCGGAAGAGGCAATCTGGGCCGCGTGGGAAGGGCACTCTCGCTCTTCACAGCCGGGCGGGCGCTTCCAAGGGGAGGCGGGACGTTTCTTCTCTCTACCAATCACAAGCCAAAGGTTTAGCACAGGCAGACAAGGCCCCAAGTGGAAGGCAGGGCAAAGCACATGGCCAAACAGCTTCACAAGCCCTTTCTGCTCCCCAATCAAGTGTCTGGCAGCTTAAAACACTTGCAGGGCCCAAGCAAAGGCCCACCTGGCCCAGCTACCCCGTCTCAAGCGCCTGCCCCTCGTGCAGAACCAAAACACTTCCGAGCCCTTCTCTGCTGCTCACTCCTGACATCCGCGATCAGGCAGGTTGGCTTCTCCTCTGGCAGGTTCTGCTCAGCCCTCGTGAGCAAGATCTGCCTCGACAGGCCTGACTGGGCTCCCTAAGCTTGCCTTAGCCCCCTCTAGCGCTAGCCCATGGCCACCCCCATATCCCGCAAGAGGGTCAGCGAACACCTTGTGTAAAGCAGCAGCAGCACTTCTGCCTGCCCTGAACCCTTCAGGTGACCCAGAGGACTTGACCCTTACGGGAGGCGGAGGAAGACAACTCCCCTGGACACTCAGCCCAGCCACGTCCCCTGTGGGGTGTAAAACACAGAGCAGTCAAATATAATATTCCTAGAGTGGAAATAAAAAGGGGGTTCTGGACCAGCCAGTCGGAACTTCCTGTTTCCTCCTGGGCTGGGACAAACTTCCTCTACATGTGACCAGAGGTGGGCATGACCTCACCTGTGCAGGTAACAAAACAGCACAGGGGAGGCAGCCATCTCTCTCTCTGACTCCATTCCTCGAGGAAGCAACATCTCCTTCCTGAGATGCTCTCTTGGCTTCCAGCCAAGAGAGGACAAAGGAACTATCTCCTTATGGGACAGATTCCACATATATATATTTTGTAAGCTAAGACTGCCTTCTGGAATCAATTTGTGAACAGGGTGTGTGAGTAAACTATTTTTTACTTTTATATAAGACTATGTTGTGTCTATTCTTTTAAGAGGGAATAAAAGGGGATTTACCAGGAAACTTATTTTAGAGGCTTATACAAGCCTGGCAAACCTATCCGCTGTGAAAGTTTAAAAGGGGAATGTTACTCTGCTAAATTATAGAACTTGTTAACACAAGCTGGGAAGGATATAAGCAATATATCCTCTCCTGTTTCTCTGAACATTCCCACATCCCCCATACCATATGGCGCTTTATCAGGGCCCTTGGCAAACCCCAACTTCTTCTGACCCAAGTCACCAGTCCAACGAACATCAGCCAGTTCCCCGTTTCCACACACTTCTGAAGCCAACAGTCCTCAGGACCAGGACTGTGCTAACATTACTTAAAATGAGGATATTTCTAATTATACGACAGTTTGAAAATGACTGGGGGTGAGGGGAATAGTCCTGCAGATTGTTTTCAAGCTCAGGGAGAATGTACTCATGGAGGACACTTATTCACGGCTCCAGTACGGAGAGCCTCGCAAGCAAAAATATGTGCAACCCGCCACCTGTGGACACCTGCCCCAAGCAGCAGGGGATCCAGCCAGAGATGATTTCTCACAGGTACCTTGGGGGGGGGGAGAGGGGAGTCCAGTCTAGCTGGCTCTCGCTCTTCTCCCTCATACAGAAATGAAGCTTCTTTGCTGCCTCCCTTTCCCCTCAAGCTCCCACTTTCCACAAGGCAAATAAGGTCCTACAGCTGCAGTTTCAGGAAATCTCCCCCTTTGCCCTGCACCCCCCCAAAGGTGTTAAGTGGGTGCTGAGGACCCGGCCTGCCTTCACTCTCCTTCCCAAGAAAGACTGAGGGGCCCCAGCCTTTCCTCAACAGTCCAGGAAATCTCTTTTGAAAAATAACATTACGTCTGCACAAAACACTTCCTCACTTTCTTTCCCCCAACCAAACTGAGGGCCAAAACTACAGTGATCTCTGAATTGTGGCCATGGGGTTTGAGGGTGGGAGGACCCTGGAAGCCCCCTCCTCCTAACCCCCCTCCTGGCCCAGGACTCTTCCAGGGTGAGGGGGGAGCAGAGCTGCCTCTTACCGGAGGTGCCCGTGGGGTCTGCCGCTGGTGCCTTCCTTGCAGAAAGGACCATCTTCTGCTTCAGGCGCACCAGGAGGCTGTCCATCTCCTCGTCAGAGGTGTCAGATCCCAGCACAGCGCTTGCTCTCGCCTCTTGGCTCTGGGCGGTGCCTCCAGACTGATCCGTGCAGCAACGCCTTTCCCCCTCGCGCAAGGGAGAGTTGGGGCTGCCCCTGCGAGCGACAGGGCATGGCAAGCTCCTCCAGGTCCACTTTGGGGCCTGGCATGCTCGTCTGGGCTGCTGGGGGTTCCCTGGGGTGCCTTTGGCAAAGACGGAGTCGTCGTCGTCGTCGCTGTCGGTCTCGCTGAACACAAGGGGAGGCAGAAACGAGGCAGAGGGAACAGCCCCATTTCCAGGCGTCCCAGGCACCTCTTGCGCCTGAGCAGACCGCGGCCCTGCAAGTCAGCAAAAAACATTTCACAGGCGCTTCTTGGTTTTGTATTTTGTAAGGTTCTACGTATCGTTTATGACTACTTTTGTTGTGTTGGAGTCACATACTTTTTTATGTTGTAAGCTGCCTTGAGCAAGGTTTGAACTGTGGAAGGGTGGCATGCAAATAAAATCACAGCAAGGTGAGTGCCCCCAACCATCTCGTATCGCCCCAACATGGGGCCCAAATTCCTGCACTCCTGTGGGGTGAAAGGAGGCCACCAACTGCTCCCCAGGTTCAGAGCTCCCCAGGGTCCCCAGGGAGGGAGAAGGCTTATTGCGTGGGCCGCATCAGCCCAGCTGAGATGGCAAAACACAGCCTGGAAGGGGGGGGGGGAGAAAACAGGCCATTTTGAAGTGGGAAACCCCCCCACACACACCCGGATGCTACTCTGCCCTCTGGACAAACGCATGGATGACATGCCTTGGACCAGGACAGCTCACCCAGCCTCCTCCAACTGGCAGCAGGATCTTTCCATTATCACTTGCCTTTTTTGCCAGATCCATATTTGCTTGTGAGGTACCTGAAGAAATCATCCTTGGAATCGTCCAATCTGGGACACAAGAGACAAAGGCAGCAGCGTCAGAAGGCAAAGAAGGATGCAGAATAAGTCTTTGGTCTTGCTTGTGAAATATACAGTAAGCCCACAACTTACACAAGGGTTGCATTCCAGGATCATGCCTGAAGACAAAATCTTGTATAGTCCAAACACATACTGGGCTGAGTGGTGGGTGGGGTTGCCAAAGTCTTTTTTCCCGGATGCCCACCTCCTCTCTATTTATCTATCTACCTATCTTATTTATTTATTTATTTATGCCAAGGGCATGAATCTGAACACACACAAGTTAAAGGTGTGTAAGTTGTGGGCTTGTGTAATTCAAATAAACATGCCAAGTCAGAGCTCTACTCACTTTCAGGCAGCTGAAACGATTTCCAATTCACTGTTTGAAAAAACCCAGCCCACCCTCCCCCCTTTGGCAGAACCCACCTGCTCTGTGTCCTCGGAACGCAGCATGTTGCAGGTCTGGGGGTCTTCATTCTAGATAAAACTAAGTCAAAACCATGAAAGGGGGAGAAACGTCACTTTTTTGTTTCCTGAAATCTGTTCTTCTAAAGCCCACAAAGGTGGCAGCTTCAAAAACTAGCCAGCGTTGAAATGAAACCAGGGATGAAGGAACAAACTGGGTCCACATTCAAGGGGCTCAGATGCCAGCATGAAGCTGCTCCCAGCAGAATGACCTCAAAGGAGACGCTGAACGTTCCACTGAAGAAACCTGATTTGGGGATTCTTCTGGCTGTTTATATACGGTGTTTTTAAGCAGGGCTCTGGGGTACCCAGGAGGACCCACCAGAGACGAGTCACAGGTTAAACTGTCAGGCTCACTCGCCTTTACAGACGGGCTCCTCCTCCTCCCATCCATTGACCCGAAATTAGTCAGAAGCAGGTGGCAGGTTGCTGCTGAGCCGCCCCACCCCCAGTCCTGATGCTACACACAGAGCCTGCCCTCCTGAGGTGCTGGGGTGGCATCCCACCAAGTCCTACTCAGAGGTTGTGCTGCGTTTCAATGTTAGGTGGCATCTGTTACGGAGCTCAAGGGAAAGGGAATCTGCCTGCCTGGCAAAGGGCTTCACCCCAGAAGCTGCGGAACAGAAGAAACCTTTGGCCAAGAGACTCTGGTCCATGGCAGAAACAGGACCGACTGTCAGGGAAGAAATGGGTGAGAAGAGATGCTGACAGTGCAGCAGTCTGAAGAAAACACAAGCCTCCCTGCACCCCAATAAAGCTGGGGACCAGGTTAACCCCAAAGGCAACAGAAGAACCAATTTTAGTTGAGAGCAAAAGCGTAATGGAAAGGGAACCTATCAGTACATAGGAAAAGGTTTCTGGGTTGGTGCAACCTGGAGAAAGAGGGTAACTCCTTCTCCAGGCTTCACTTCTCTGAAGTCTCTCAGCCCCACTCACCTCACAGAGTGTTTGTTGTGGGGGAGGATGGGAAAGGAGATTGTTAGCCGCTTTGAGACTCCTTCGGGTAGTGATAAAGCGGGATATCAAATCCAAACTCTTCTTCTTCTTCTCCTTTCTACACAAGTAGTTTTTTTGTGCTATAACTTATCTTTAGACCCACTGAGGAAATTAGCTTTTACTTACAGTTTTCAAACTCGTCATCGCTGCCTGAGCTCGTGGAGCTGAAAAGCAGACAACAATAAAAGGAAAGTGGCTAGCCATTGCACAGCCATATTCTAAATGCACAGAAAGAAGCTTTGATCAAAAGTCTTCACTGCAGTGGCATATGGCAGGGAGCACACAATGTTCTGACATTTACAATTTAGGATGGGAGACTGGCTGCTTTTCAATTGGTTCACTCTGAAGTGCTCTGGTGGATGGCTCTCCTCAGCACTGGGAGCAAGTCTCTCAGAGCCTGCATGTTCGGTGCGGCCTCAGAACTCAATGCCGCTGCCTGGCTGTGTTGGAAGTCAAAAGGCTGTTTGAATTTACAGCCAGATGAAGGAAACACCAAGTGTGGAAACTGAAGTATACAGCCTCATGCATGGCCTGGAGAAAGGGGGCAGAGGAAGGTTCTTCTCCCTCTCTCACATCCCTAGGACTCTGGGCCCTCCAAGGAAGCTGAATATTGGAAGAGTCTTCACACAGCACAGTTAAACTCTGGAACTCCCTGCCACAGGAGGCCGTGGTGGCCACCAGCCTAGATGGCTTTAAAAGAGGATTGGACAAATTCATGGAGCAAGAGAGGGCTATCAGCGGCTATGAGCCACAACGATGATGCTCTGCCTCCATTGTTGGAGCAGCGATGCTTCCGAACACCAGTTGCTGGGAATCACCAACGGGGAGAGGGCTCTTGGGTTCTGCCCAGGGGCATCTGGGGGGCCACTGGGAGAAGAGGGGTGCTAAACCAGGTGGGCCCTTTGGCCTGGAGTAGCAGCTCTTCTCGGGTTCCAGGTGTTCATCTTCAACACGGAAAGGCAAGAATGAGAGTGAAATTACTCTGGGGTTGTTTCCAGGGTTGGCAAACATGTTTTATTCACAATTCCAGTTCCCTTCAGAAGAGCTTCTATATATGTCTTCATGCCACTGAACACTATTTACTTAAAAGATTTAAAGGCGTCAAAAAGGGGTTAAAACACATAAATGTCATTATGTTTCAGTTTCTTTTTCTACTTTTTATTGGGTTGTTGCAACATAAAATAAGACACCCCAGGCTAACGCAGGCAATGGAATTTGGGCACTATCTCCAAAAGAACATCCAAATAACATAATAAATGTAATCTTTTTAAAGTTAATCTGTGCTATCAATGTGCTTAACCCTTTCAATGCTGTTGACTACTTGCTTCTAGCGACTTTTCTCGATGAGTTTAGCATTTCTCCTGCGCCCCGTCGAGGCGTTTCCCCCCCGCTATTTCTATTCTACCGAAGGGGCCGGCCTCTCTCGCGGAAGAAAGGGGCCCGGGCGCTACTTACGCCGCGCTCCTCCTCGGCCGCCCTCCTCGGGCTTCTTCGGCGGAGACGCCTCGCCGCGCCATGGGGCCGAGCGGGGAAGCCGGGCGAGAGAGAGAGAGAGACCCAGGCGAGGGGGGCGGGCGAGGCAGCCGGGGAAGAGCGGGCGGCGGGCCGAGCGGGGAGAAGCAGCCCGGCGGAAGGGAGCCTCGTGCGCCCCGCCCCCGCTTTGAATTTCCCGCCTGGGCGCGCGGGGATGACGCACTTCCGGAGTCTCGGCCCCCGTCGCCCCACGGGCTCCTTCCGGTCCCCCCCCCGCGGAGCCGGAGGAGTCGCTCCGGGAGGGGCGGAGGCGGGCGGGGGGAGGCCGGGCGGCGTCCCGGGAGCTCTGGCCTTGCCGGGGCTGGACTAGATGGCCTCTGGGGTCCCCTGGGGCGGGGCTTCTCCCTCGCTGCTCCGGGCCTCCGCCTGAGAAGGGGCGAGGGGGTTGGGAAGGGGGGCGAGCAGATGGGGGGACCCTTCCGGGAGGAGATCGCCGGAGAAAGTGCTTCCCCTTCCCCCGCGGACGGGCAGGCGAGCCTGATCCCTCGTGGGATTTACGTCTAAGCTCAACCAGCTCAGGGCCCCACTCTCCTGGGACCCCCCCCCCCAAAAAAGGAGGGGAACCGGGTGTACATTTCCAAAATACAAGATAAAAAACAAATAAAATCAAGCCTTCATACAGCAACAGTGTTTTATGTTGTGTCAGCTCCTATGATGCAAGTCGGGGCCCCCGCCTGCTAGCCTCTCCCTCAAATATCACTGCTTCACTCCTTTCTGTACGTAGGGTAGGGACGCGGGTGGCACTTTGGTCTAAACAACTGAGCCGAAGGCATGCCAATCAGAAGGTCGTGGTTCAAATTCCTGCAACGGAGTGAGCTCACATTGCCCTGTCCCAGCTCCTGAGAACCTAGCAGTTCGAAAGCACAAAGTGCAAGTAGATAAATAGGTACCACTCCAGCGGGAAGGTAAACGGCGTTTCTGTGCGCTGCTCTGGTTTGCCAAAAGCGGCTTAGTCCTGCTGGCCACATGACCCAGAAGCTGTCTGGGGACAAACACTGGCTCCCTCAGCCAGTAAAGTGAGATGAGCGCCACAACCCCAGTCGTCCACAACTGGACCTAGCGGTCAGGGGGCCCCTTTACCTTTACCTATATATAGGGTGCCTCCATTCTGCATGGACTGGTTGCCTGGCAACATGTGCAAATGGCTTGAGATGCCTGTTAGGTCCATCAATGACCATAGAGCATATATTCAACACAAAAAACAGTGACAATTTGTTGTTGACAAAGGACAACTGGACATAGAAAGGGCCCCATTACCTTCAGGAACTGAGGGCAGCATCAAACCTCAATCCGGCCCTGGCTGTGCCCCCCCCCCCATGGGAACTTCCACATTTTAAAATGGTTTGCATTTTTTTGCTGTACACCACCCTGTTGTTTTATGGCAGAGCAACATAGAAATGCATTACACAAATAAAAAGGAAGGCGGTCTAGGCTGTCTTGCTCTCACATCCTTCAGTTTGCTTCGATGGGTGTTTGGCTCTTGGGCTGACTGCTTGTCCCTGCCTTTCTCAAGTCTCAAGGGATACCCGGAGGGGAGGGGAGTCTGGCATTTCTTTTTACTGTGAGGGGTACTTCCTCGTAGAACAGGGCATGGCCTCAGGCCCATTTGCATATGAAAACTCCCAAATGCATATGAAAACTCTTGGCAAAAGAAAGACCACTTAGATGTTTATTATTTTCCATAACAAGTGCAAGTGTGGGAGTTGTGTTTGGTGCAACATTGTGCACAGTCCTTCCAGCGCTCATATGCACCCGCCTCTCCTGCAGGGGGGTCTGGGGTGGCTGCTTCGCTCCTTTCCATCAGATGGCCAAGACACCCCTCAGCCGGCTCTAGTCAGGGATTGGGCCCGGTTCGTTTCTTCACGGCCCCCTCCAGCAGAGGGGATTCCCTTCAGTGCAGAAACCCCGGTCCAGACTGCCAGAGAGGCCAGGGCAGCTGCTCAGAGATGTGCCAGGGGGAAGGCAGGAGACCCTCTCCGGTCCTGGAGTCCGTTGCTTCCCTCACCCATAGCTGTGGGGGCTGCTGGGGTTCATGGGGGCCGATTCCTGGAGTCCCAACTGGCCCTTCAGAAGCCAGAGCCGATGGCTCAAGTTCTGCACTTGGCAGGTGCCCAAGGCGCAGCCGACACGCATCAGCTGCGCACGGTGCAGGCGGGGGGCTGCCTGGCGCTTTGGACGGGGGGCTGGAGCCCACGGGAGCCGGTGCTGGGGGGTGCTGCCGGGCTGCTGGGGATCCAGTCTGCGCCTGGGGAGGACGGAGAGGTGAAGCCGGCTTCCTGGCATCACCACGGGAGACTTCCAGGCCGGCCACATTCTGGCCGTCTTGTCCGAAAGCTCTTCTGTCATCGGCCTCTTCTGCAGCCAGGCTGGTGGGTGGCTTCTGGCCCAGGGCTTCCTGCAAGGAGAGGATGGAAGAGGTGCCATGAGCCCTTGCCCTCCGCTGGCAGCAGGAGGGAAAGAGGCATGTTGGAGCAGAAGCACAAATACTTGCAGGAGCCGGGCTCACGGAGCAGCCACAGCCTGTTTATAGGGGGATCAAAGCCGCCTGTCCCCCACCTGCCTGTGTGGTCCCTGGGGGTGCAGGGGCCACACCTACTTCTGCACTGCCCAGGCCCAGAGCCGGCATGTGCCCTCGCAGGGTTGGCTCAGGGAATGTTGCTTGAAACGGCTTGGCTGCCCTTGCCCAGAAACTGCGCTCACAATTCTCTCTCATGGAGGAGGAGTGCTCGTCACAGGCGAGTCTGCCTCTCCATGGGATGGTCCAGGCAGGGTGAGAGTGAGGCCTGTCAGAGCAGAAGAAGCACAGACAAAGCCCAGCCTGACTCAAGAAGAGGGCTCTGTGGGGGAGGCTGCAGATCTGGGTCAGCATATTTGGGTGGGTGTGCAGCGCAGCCTCTCGGGGAGAGAAACCTGTGGGTTCCCACTATGGTGCCAGGCCCAATTCAAAGTACCCGTGGTTACCTTCCAACCCCTAAACAGCTTGTCAGATGCTCACCTGGAGGCGCGCATGGGCATCTCCAGGACCTGGCTAGCCCTGAAAGTCAGCAAGGAAGACCCCACTGCCAGAGCCTCCCGTCAGGTGCATCAGTTTGGCACTGGACACGTGAGACAGGGTCAAAGAAGGACAAGCCTCGCACCCCAGGCGAATTTTCCTGTAGCCCAAAGGAATCTCCATCTCCACAACCCCACTGAGTTTCAGGGCTCTGGCTGGGGATCCCCCCCCCCCCACATCCTGACAGCAGCAACAATAAGGCACTTTGGGACATGCACTTTTTTGAGAATAGGCTGCCTGAGAAAGACCCTTTTGCCTCCAATGTCATAGACAAGAAAACCAGACTATTCCCTCCTAAAGTCCACTTTGCTCAGTGTGACTCGCTCTCAAGAATCCTGGCATAGGACAACAGTCTTGGTATCTTTCTGGGAGAAACTCGTGTGAGGTCTGGTACTGGGAGTCAGAAAATATGACTTGGTCTTTGTGTGTGGAGCTTGTGCAGAGTGTGGGACGATGGGCACCCTTGCTGTGTGTGTGTGCATGCGCGCACATGTGTACACTTGTATAGCTGTGACTTGTGTCCCCTTCTCCCTGCTGTGTCCTTTTATGGCCAATAGACATGGCAGCCTCCCAGGCCATTGGAGATGGTGGCCATTCTCGGAGACAACTGTGGCTCTTCCACTCACTCCCATTTAAAAACTTCTGTATTTGGGTTTTCTCTCAGAATTAATTACTGTAATAGGAAGCCGCTTTTTAAAGGGCTCCCCCCCCAATCCTCTCTGTGGGGGACCCAGATCCTGAATGAGATCGTGGGAGAGGAGAAGCAGGGGCAGAGCCCCCTTTTGGGTGAGGAGATGAGCTCCCAATCCAGGGACAGGTCCCCCTGCCCACGTCCTGTTGGGAACTTTGGAAGCTGCCGAATAACAAGTCAGAGCCCTGCTCCATCTGGTTCAGTACTGTCCGCACTGACTGGCAGCAGCTCTCCAGGGTTTCAGGCAAGGTCCATGCGCAGCCCTTGCGCCTTTGCGGATTGCATGTGGAGCGGGTGCTCTGTCCCTGAACTATGGCCCTGCTCAGATCAATGTGGCAAGAAGTCAGCTGGGGCAGAAGGAATATTTTACATATTTAAATGAAGCAACATTTAATTGCTTGAAACTGGTAGACTTCAACCTTGCCTTTTGCTTTTGACAGATGCTTGTTAAAAGCTCAGCTCTTGGCCTTTGTAACTGAGCAGAGGCAGACCTGCCTGGCTGGCCATCCTCATAGGAAGAAGCTGCTTCCTTGACGGTGGTTCCAGGAAGGGCAGCCCCCCACCTCTGGGCAGGACACAGCAAGGGGGGTCATCTCTTGAGGGCCATGCTCTGCACCAGCCGTGAAGAGACTCGTGAGCTGAGCCCAGAAGCTCCCTCTAACCCCAGCAGTCCCTCCTTGAGGACCTTGGCAGGCCTCTCCGTTTGGTCCCCGTGAGGCCAGGCCCCTCTGCCTTGGCTGCCTGGAGAGGCATCACGGCCAGCACGTCTCTCTGGGCGGCGGCAACCGTCTCTTCCAGACCACAAGAGAAACTATGTGTGGCCTAGCCCTGACGCAACCTGCTGAGCCACCTTTTCCATTTGAGAAGCGGGATGGGGCGGGGGGAGAGAATGAATGAGGAGAGAGCATGTGTCAGGTTGGGGCATGGAGAAGGATGTCAGCTTCCTTCCAGCAGGGAAGAGGAACTGGTCTGGAGGAGGGAAGGAGGCGGGAGAGACTGGGAGATGGCCAGAGGGAAGGAGCAGGGCGGGAGGCGGGGAGGAGCGCAGGCAAGGCAAGGGAGCTGTACCTGCCACAGGACACGTACGCTTGGCAGGCAGGCAGCAAGGAGGGAGCGGAGGCCAGCTGCATCAAAGGCCCGTAGCCCACACACAGGCCAGGTTCAAAAGCCTCTCTCCAAACCGTCACCACAGTTTCAGGTAACAGGACAGGAGGAGCTGCCTCTCCCCTCCACAAGTGAGGGCGCCTGGCACAGCTGCAGCTGGGTGTGATGACTGCCTGACTCTGCAGAGGCCTTGGTCCTCTGGCCTGTGGGGCGTGTGTGTGTGAGAGAGAGATGTTTGCTTCTGCAAATGCAGCCGAGGATTGCATCAGCTTTTTGAGCTGGCACATCACACAACCGGCTTCTCTTCGGTTTGGGAGCCACTAAGACCCCGAGATCGTTTCTGCACACTTGGTTTCCCCATCTTATGCCTCTGATTCTTTGCACAGAGGTGGTTTTAGGGTAGCGCAACTGGTTCTGCCCCACTGGGTGTTGGCGCCACAGGGGGCTCCGCAACAATGATGTAGAATGGAGCGGGAGAGACGGGGGCGCCAAATTTTATTGTTGCACCACTGAAATTTGAGAGCCCAAGAGCCGTCCCTACTTTGCACCTACGTGCAGGACTCTACATTTATTACTGTAGGTTTTCATTCTGTTGGTTTCAGCCCAGTCTTCCAGCCTGTCAAGATCTTTTGAACCCTTACTCTGTTTTCCGAGGTCCTCATCCCCTTCCCAGCTTGGCATCAGCATCCTCCAGACTCCAAGTAATCTAAAGGAATGCTGAGCAGGACAGCTCAAGACTCCCAGCCGGCCGACACAGAGCCACTCATCGTGGGCACTCAGTGGGCACAGCTGCTCAGCCAGTTTTAGATCCAGCACAAAGGAGTGTTGTCCAGCCTCTATTTTACCTACTTGCCAACAAGATAACGTGGGAGACTTTGTCAAATGTTTTGCTGAAATCAAGATATACTATGTTCATTGAAGATAAAGCAACTAGACTAGTCACTCTAGACAAAATGACAGGAGGGAAGGTTGGTCTTGCAAGCCATACAGTTGATCAACCCATTCTGGCTCCTAGTCATCCTGCCCGGAAACCAATGTCCCCACTGTGGAAGGACGTGTGGATCCAGAATTAGTCTCCACAGTCACTTACAGACTCATCGTTAAAACCGTGTTTATGGAAGACCATCTTACACGGCTACGAGTGATCGCCAAAGAAGAAGAAAGATTTTCTAGATGGCCACAGACTGACCTCTTACTCATCTTGTATTGACCATTCAGTATTTTTTGGAGACGCTCCCCTCTTCCCTTTTGAAGACAGACAACATTTGCCCACCTCCAGACATAAACACCCACACCTTCCTTACCCACCCACCCCCACACACGGGGGGGGGGGGGGAGAGAGAGAGAGAGAGAGAGACAGAGAGAGAGAGGTGATTCATTCCTTGTTTTAGTCACAACCAAATATGATTTTTAAACTGCTGACCATGACTTTGGTAATTGTTTTGGATTTTAAAAAAACACCTATATTGTAAGCCATCCTGTGTGGCAAAGCAGGGTGATATAAATACCCTGCTCAAACAAGCCTGTCTGCCAGCTCCCTGTCCTCTGCAGCCCTTCCACTCATCCTGGGCGTTAACTCTCCTGACACCATCCTCCCAGGTGTGAAATGTCTCCGCTGCCTGAGATGTCCCCCTGCTTTGCTCATTGCAGTTCCTACTCTCTCATCTGCCCTCTGCCCAGTACTTCCTTGTTGCTTAGCCTTGAATCAGCCTCGATGGAAACTGCCCTGGTACTCTGGGCAGATTCCATCTGCCACAAATGAGCATTTCCTGCCATCCCTGGATGGGGTGCGGGCAAAGCAGCATCTCTTGCCATTAGCTTGAACAGGAAAAATGCCGCAGGAGCTGATGCAACAGCCGGAAGCCTGTAGGGGAGCCACAAACCTAAACAAAAAATCATAATTTGCACTTCGCAGTAGGTGCCTCAATAAAAGTTTGTCTTTCAGCTGGGAAGACTCCAGTTCCAATCTCTGCTTGGCTGTGCTGACCCTGAACCAGTCTCTCTCCCTTAGGCTGTTCTGTTTCACAGGACAGTTGGTACGATGTGGGTCTCCCTGGAGGAAGGGCAGGTGGGGCTGTATTTCATTCCCCATCTTGCTCTGCCATTGAGGGATGAAACCAAAGACAGCAGTTGCATCACAGCTGAATGCTGGGCAAACACAGCAGGAGGCAGGAGGCGCTTGTGGGGACCAGGCCTTCTCTTGCATAGGGAGCTGTTCCACCCGCCTTCATGGAAGCCTTGCTTGCTTTTCCATCTCCAGGCTCCCAATGCTGCATGGCTGAGGGGAGGAATGGTTCCGCTGGGCTCCCATTCATCCCCTGGACTTCCACCTGCTGCTCACCCCCTTTAGCACTGGAGCAGGGGCTAGAGGGACCAGAGAAGATGCTGGCATACTGCCCAGCGGTGGTCCCAAGCAAACAGCTGGATGCCCCCATCCCCTGGCTCACAGACAGAGGAGGGAGCAAGACACAGAAGCCAGCCCCCCCATGCCTTGCCCCCTACCCCCATCCTCTGAGCAGAACTCGTGGGCTGCAGTGGTCAAAGGTCTGCAGGGTCTCCCCACCCCCCACTGGGTCAACACACTGCCTGGAGCTGCATTTTCAACAGCAGCAGAAGAGCCTTGGGGAGACCCCCCAGTCCTTGGCCGAAAACCCTCCATCCTTCTCTGCAGGGACTGGCAGCCTGCCCACTGCCCAGCGGGAGAGCCAACAGCTCTAGTCCACAGCGCAGCCAGCAGCGTGCCCAGCCCTCCTGCTCCAAGCTCTGCTGAGCCCAAACGATGCCCGCTGAACCCCTGCCTGCCCTTCCGCTGCCTTGGCTCAGGGGCAACTCCGTTCAGGTTCACTTCCCCTCAGCCATCCGATGGTCAGGTGATGAGCCAGACATCCACCCCTTCGGCCTGAACCCTCACCCACTCAGCTGCTCCCGGCCTGGCTGACAGAAACACTCTGACTGCCCAGGTGCTTGGAGTTGAAGCATCCAAAGGTGCCAAGTCATGCCACACTCACATGCCCCCACAGTTGCCAGCTGTTCAGTCAGCAACTTCTGAGGACCCAGACACTCACAGCAGGGATCGATTTCCTCACAGCAGGGATCAGTTCTCTCTCTCTCTCTCCTGTACTTGTGTTAAGGCCCAGCTCGCCCAAACCCATTTTCTCTCTCATGTGCCCCCTCCCTGCATAAGTCTCGTTTGCGCACCCACCCCCTTTTCACAGAGAGGTATCCCAATCAGTGTATAGCTTGGCTTGCTTCCTTGAGCCGCCCTCTCTCTTAGCAGGCAGGCATTTTCCCAGGCAACATATTCACTTGTATATAGAATTTATTTGACAACATTTATATACTGCTTCATTGTCAACGGAACCCCTAGGCAAGTGTGTGCATGTATGTGCCTGCCTGTATGTGCGCTCTGTGTTTGTGGGGCTACTAGAGAACTTCCTTTGCCAAACCTTTTCACAAATGGGAGCTCTACACTGGTTCAATTCCTTGCTAAAGGGGACACATCCCCCTGCTTGGATGACAGAGAGGACGTCTTCATCACGGCGCAATGGGCCAGTGCGTCTGGCTGTTAACCAGAAGGTTAGTGGTTCAAGCCCACCTAGGGATGGCTGTGGGCAGGATTCCTGCATTGCGAGGGGTTGGACTAGATGACCCTCGGGACCCTTCCAACTCCACAGTCCCAGGGTTCTAGGATGGTTACTGCTGCTTTATCATGGCTTCTATCTCATCTGCACCTTGTCTGTTTTCTGGAGATGATGATTTATTCAATTTGTATGCCGCCCCAAACCCGCAGGTCTCAGGGCTGTTACAACCGCCTAGCGAAGGTTTGCCTCCATCTGCTGTCGCAGAGCTTGAAAGGAGATCCTCGCAGGGCTGAAGCGGGTGGCAGGCTGGCACCCCCATTCCAGCCCAGGGCAGACGCGCAGCCCTCAAAATCCAGGGGAAGGACATTCCTTCCTTCCCATCTGAGCATATTTGGGGGTATCCCGACCATCACCCCCGTTTTAGGCGAGAGATCCGGGCTGCTGTGTGGAATGCAAGGGGTGGGGGGGCGAGCAAAGGGTCTTTCTTTAGGCTGGTCCCAACCGGCGCAATCCGATTCTCCCAAGAGTAACTCTTGGAGCCCCCCCAACTCCCTGCCCCATGCAAGGCGCTCCACCGCGGCAGCTCCCGGACACGCTCGGCCATGGCGGGGGTCTTTCCTCTGCCTGAGAAAGAAGCCGGCTTCTCGGGCCGGTCCCTGGAACTCCCTTCCACTGGACTGCACGCCCCTCCCGGAGGGCAAAGAGGGATTCCGCCCCAGCTGGCAGGGGCGAGGGAGGGGCATAGCTGTCAACGTTTCCCTTTTCTTAAGGGAAATTCCCTTATTCCGAATAGGATTCCTCGCAAGTAAAGGGAAAAGTTGACAGCTCAGCGGCTCCCCACACGCCCCACCGCACTCTCTGCAAGGGGACAGGAAATGGGGGTGAGCAGGCGGGCCTCTCCGCTCTGCTTTGAGGCGGCCTCCGTCGGGGTAGGGCTCCTGGTCACCTCCCGGCCCCATTTCAGGCACCAAAACATCCACCCCACCCCCACCCCACGGCTGCCGACCTTCGCCCTCCCTGGAGGGGACGGAGCAGGAGGAGAATTCTCCGACTGGCGGACGGGGACTCACCGGGGCGACAGCGGCGAGATGCGCCCCGAGGGGGCGGGCGAGGCGGACTCGGCGCCCGGCAGGTGAAGGAGCAGCGCGAGGAGCGGGAGGAGGAGGAGGAGGCGACAGCGGCTGATGCAAGCGGGCTCCCGGCGCAGCTGGCGCTTCATGGCGGCGCGGGGGGCGGCGGAGAGGGCTTCAGGGCGCGAGGACCCCTTGGGGGGCGCTACCTCGCAGGGGAGCCGCTTGGCTCCGGTGCCGTAAAAGGTAAAGGTATGCAGTTCTGGCTGGTGGAGCTGGGCTGCCCGTTCCTTCGGAGCGGAGAGAGTGTCCCGGGAATCCTCGACGGTGAGCTGGACGGCGCGTTGGCTCTCCTGGACGGCTCCGGCCCGGGCACCTCCAGGACATATGACCCGCAGCAGCAGCAAACTGCCTCCCCACGCCGTCTGTCGCGGCTTAAATACCAGCCTCCCGGCCCCTGGGCGCTGCCCGGGCTGGCCAAGCCTCTGGAGGCGCCTTCCGCGACGGGGCGGGGCATCCAAGACCGCCACTGACTGGCTGGGGCTGCCCGGGAGAACGGGATGGCCGTCCGGGGTCACACCTCCCCCAAGCTCCCACGGGCCGCCCTTGGTCTCTCTGCGCTGACGACCCCTCCCCGCCGCGGGCTCGAGGGGAGTCGCAGAAACCGGGGAGAATCCCCCGTCGAGGGCGCCTTCGGGTTTCCTGCCTGCAGGGCCCGCGCCGCCCACTAGAGGGCGCCTGGACTCCAGGGCTGGCCAGGGATTTGGTCGCCTCGTCCGAAGAGACAAGCCTGGCTGGGGGTCTGCCGGCTCATTTCTTCCCCAAGAGCCCCCCATCCTCGCCGGTAGCCCCTCTGCGCAGGCAGGGAGGCAGGCAGGCGCCCCGCTCCCCACCCCACTTAGTGGCCCGGCCTGCCCCTTCCGGAGCGAGGGAGCCCTTTGGACTGGTCCCCGTCTCCGCAAAGCACACCTGCCTGCCTGCCTGCCCCACACCTGAGGCCAGGGATGGCGGGGTGGGGCGGGGTGGGAGTCTTGCTGGCGCTTTGGATTAGCTGACCGGTGGGGAGATCGCGCAAGGGAAAGGGGGCGCAGCTGCCCCCCCCACAAAGCAGGGCTTGCGGTCACCGTGAAGCAGCTGGCAAAGATGAAATGGGTCCTCGCCCTCCTGTCAGAGGGGCTGCCGAGGATGCGGGAGCTGAAGATCCAGCCCACGGCCAGATCCAGTTCCCTCCCCCGCCCCGCCCTCTGGCTTGGTCCTGTGTATATTCTCTTTTGCAAATGAAAACTAGCTTGGCTCTTCTGGTCACATCAGCATTAAAAAAAATGATTTCTTTGCAATTCGTGACCTCTCCATTTGAAAATCACTTGGGAGGCTTCTCAGCTAAGTGTCCTCTCAGCAGCTCAATCCAGGGATCCAGAGTTATCTTTAAGAGGATCTCCAAAATTAGGTTAACAGGAGCTCTGCTTGGGCACAGAATGACCCCTGGGGACTGGCAGATCCAGGGCAGGATTCCTGCCAAGGAGGCCAACTCCACACACACAGGCTCCATGGGCACAGGAGAGGTGGGCGGGTTCCATACACAGAATGGGGCAGCATTAATAATAATAATAATAATAATAATAATAATAATAATATTACTTCCCTCACTGCCTGTCTGGCCACACTTAGGGCCAAGGACTGGGATGGGGTTGCTGAGTCCCAGGATGTTAAACTCCCCCAGGAAGAGGAATTAGGATGAGAAGCCAGGAGGCAGAGGGGTGGGAGGGAAGCAACTGTCCACAAGGCCAGCAGTCTTACCATCGGAAGGCTGAAACCAGCAATTCCTAGACATTTTTCAGCCACCCGGCCCCTGGTTCCATAAAGGTATTCCTTGTGCCCCCTACCCTGTCCTACAAAAAGCAATATTCAGAATAGCAGTTTGCATGACCCAGGAAGAGAGCAGCACAACAGAATTCAAAACAGTAGCAGTTAATTGCACATTTATTCAAAATCCAATTAAAGTTACGTAGTTTAATTAATTTGACAAAACTGATGAACTTGATCCAGTGATAGATGCTTCTCAAAGCCTGATGGTCATTTATACCTCCAGCCCCCCATCACCCCCTGACAACCCCCTGGGGAATCCCAGTGGGTGGTACCAACCACTCTGGGAACCACTGGGCTAAACCATCTCATTTCTTCTGCCTTTTTGTCCAGGTTCAGACTCTTTTCTCTCTTCCTTTCTGTGGGAAAGAGAAATTAAGGAGAACCAGAAACCAACAGGAGGCAAAAGGAGGACATTTTGACACCCGGTGGTCAAGAAGGTGATAATCCTGCCTTTGTGGGGATAAGCTAGTGGAGGGGCGTCTTGTGGCTTCTGTTTTTTAAACCACCCTTAAGAAGACAGTTTCCCCCTTTGCCTCTGAAGACCTGGTGATCCCACTTGGGGGGGGGCGTCCACAAACCCTGCGAGGAGCCTCAGTGCCTCTTTGCCCAGAGTCAGGTACTGGCAGGAGGGGGGGGAGCGGAGCCGGAGTCTGACTCAGGGAAGAGGCAGGTCAGGCAAAGGAGGGACCAGGGGCTTCCCCACCCTCTCCTGCCCCACTGTCCCCCAAAACCAGTGGGAAGAGCAGAGGCAGCTTCCAGGCAAGCAGAGGTGGGGGGAGATAAATAAGGAGGTGGAGGAAAGGCAATGGCTTCCTGCTGCTGCCAATGAAGGATGTCAAGGGAATAATTTGTTGGAAGCTGACAAGAGTGGCATCATCCTCATCCTCATCATCTGCTCCACAGAGTGAGGTATAGCTGCCTAGACACAAGGCTGGTTTGCGTGGGGATTCAGGGCAGTGGAAACTGCTGTGTCAGCTTTGACAATAGTCAACTGCCTTCCGTGTGCATTCCTTAGGCTGGGGAGGGCTCTTGACACCCAGGCATGCAGGAGATCCCGGGGCAAGACTGGATCGTAGAATCATAGAATTGTAGAGTTGGAAGAGACCTCAAGGGTCATCCAGTCCAATCCCCTGCAAGGCACAATGTCTTTGAACTGTAAGGCTCCTGGGGCAGGGACCTCGCTTTGTGTTGTCCTTCTATAGGACACGGTTGGTGCTTTAGAGTTCAACGCAGAAGGACCAAGCATGGGCAGAGCCGGGATGTAGGTTGGGGTGGCAGGCTTTATGTTGGGGGGGAGCAGAACCAGGGGATCTGTGACATAATTGGTCGGTTAGTATTTTTATTGATTTACTTGATTTAGGGGGCCAGCTGCCCCTCCCTGCCCCCTGGCTGTGCCCATGGGACCAAGGGCAGTCACAGTCTCCAAGAGAAGGGAGAGCTGGTGCTGTGGGCATCCGTGGGTGGGCGCTTCTTCCACCACCTGGGCACCCAGAGCCCCCACTGGTGAAGCGGGGTGTGTGTGTCAATGTCTCGACTTGAAGGTGCTGCTAGAGCTGGCTTCCGGTGTGTGTGTGTGTGGGGGGGTCCATGCAGGTAATGCCAGGGTCAGACAGGCAGCAAGCAAAGCCCAGGAGGTCTCTGGCCCTGAGCCCCATTTCTAGAGGCGGAGGCTGCCTGGCACCCACAGACCAGGGACCTGAGCCTGGCTGGCATCGTGAGCCTTCTGAAGGAGCAGGTGGCAGGAGTCCACTCTGGGCTCCTGAAAGCTGTCCTGGTCAGCCAAATTGCTTTCTCAGACTCTGCTCTGGATTGAAGGGACTCTGAATACCTGAGGGAGGGAGGATTTGCCAAGGAAGCATCTCATTGGCAGAGGGGCCCCACCCCCAGCATCTGCCCCTGTTCAAGCGTCTAGTTCTCTCCAGTCAAGAGAGGACATTGCAGCTGCCCTCACCCAGAACAGGAGCAAGAGGTGTGATGAAGAATGCAACCTGAACCTTTTGACAGCAAGGCTTATGCACAGTGCTGCTCCAAAGCCTGGAAATCTTTAGAAACAATAACCCATAATTTCCTCTGCTGATATAGGAAACCTGGGTCAGTTCCATGACTCACAGACTCAGGGGCCAATAAAAGAGGACCCCCTCAAGTTTCTGTATTGTTTCTTGCAAGCAGGCTGCAGCAAAATTGCAGGAAGGCAGGCTCTTCTCCACAAGTTTCACTTCTTCAGAATCGCCAAATAACGTGTTTGCTTTTTCTAAATGAATGGACCTGTGAGGTCCAGGCTTGTGGCTGAACTGGGGTCACAGGCTAGACAGACCATGGGCCACACTTGAGCAGACTGCAAGCAAGTTTGCTGACAACAAGCCAGCCAAACACACCTCCGCCTTGGCTTTCAGTTCCTTGAAGGTGGATGTTTGCGGTGCAGAAGGAAGAGGATGAAGGCTGAGTGACAGGTTTCCTTTTGCAAGGAAGACGAAACGCCAGTTTCCCTTGCACAAGACTCCAGAATGGAGAAGGCACCAGAAGGTGCAGCCCATCTCCCTCATGCAATGCCGGAGACATCCATCTGCCTATGGGGTGGGGAGGTCAGCCAGGAAAGGTCAGCCGTGGGTCCCAGGGGGCAGGTGGGGGGAAGGCAGAACTCCTTGGGCAGAAGGGGATGCAGGGGTGCCAGGAGGACGGGGCCAGCCCACGACCAAAGAGTGATGCTTCAGGCCTTTTTCCTAGCCATCTCGCTCACTAATTCTGACCCAAAGCAGAGAGGGGCTTTGTTTCTGCAAGTCAAGGGGGGCTTGAACCTTCTTTGGCTACACGCCAGCAGCAATTCCCATGGTTTGAGCTGGGAGAGAAGTGTGTGAGCTTTCTGAGGCTGTGTGGTGCCAAGTTCAGCTTATGAGGCCTTTCCCTGCAGAAAACCCGCCGCCGGCTCCCGTGTCTGGGAAGCAGCATGAAGCCTCGTCTGGGATGAATAAATGCTGGGAGGTCCCTGTCCTTTGGCCCTCATCTGGCCAACCAAGCAGGGCTTGCTTTCCCGTCCAGCTTCTCTGCACCTCCAGGCCCAGAGGCAAGTATGGTCCCCCTCAGCCCAGGCCCTGTTCTGGCAAGTGGGCTGCAGAAGGAGAACATCTTCCTGGCATCTGGTGGGGCTAGATGCGGCCGGGCCGTGTCCGTAGGATGTGGAGAGGAAGCAACATGTATACCTTGTGTTTCACTGTGTTTCTTAACTGTTGTTGACACCACGGCCCCCAAATGTAATTATCCTGGCACCCGCTCTGTGTCTTAATCA